AATCAACCCCGTGGTCGTGCGATTTGTCGCTATGCTTAATTATTTATGTTTCATACATTATGTTACGTACATTGGCCGACAATTTCTTATTTTATAAAAAAGGCTAACTAAAAGGTAGACGATATTCATAAAAGATGTACGGTATTTGTACGATACATGAATTACGAGTAGTATGGACCAGTATGGACCGGTAATTCACGCATATATGGAACTACCGATTTCCCTCATTGATGCCTCAACAGGGGGCGGAGCGTTATCGATAATTGACAGGTTACGCGATAGCAGATAAAAATAGTACAGGAACCGTTTTAAAACGTTTAAAAACACATTTTTTGGACTAACTGCTTCCAAAATTAAATCACGAATGTGTTCAGAAAAGGTTGATAAATATACTAAGCAAAAAATCTCATTTTAGGTATTTTCAGTGATAATTGACTCCGTTGTCACCTTAAGTTAGTATTTTAATGTTACAATGTAATATAAAAAAATGTGAGTCATGTGCATGTTGTATGAACACCATTGAAAAACCAATGTCATTTTTTCCCAGATGCATCCCCATTCCCCAATATTTGAGACTTTGTTGTGTATTAATATTGACCAACTAAAACCAACATTTGGATATTGTAGCATTCTTTTCAATATATAATAGTGCTAAATATTTTGTTGTTGAATTTTTGACATTAAGGTTTCAGATTTAAGTGTAATTATATAGAAATATTCAAATTGTCAATACATCTATGATTTCATTATGTAGTAAATTAGTTAATTTTGTAAAAGGTAAGTCTTTCTCCACCAGTAAAGCTGGAAAGTTGCCATATGGCCTATACTGTGTTGGTGTAATGTTAGACCCAACCCACATCCCCAACCTCAAAAATAAGTATATTTAGCTAGATAAGAATCTCAATTTTTCTCCCCTCCCAATTATTTAGATTGATTTTTGACAACCTGGATAATTTTGCTCCCATTATTTTTACAGGATGTTATTTGGACAATGAAAATTCAATCCTTGAAAATTGTCAGAATGGTTATTTAGATGATTTCTAGGAGTGTAGGACAAAAGCCCTCCCGTCCAAAAATGACAAGGCGGACAAAAGCCCTCCCGTCCAAAAATGACAAGGCAGACAAAAGCCCTCCCGTCCAAAAATGACAAGGCAGACAAAAGCCCACCTGTGAAAAAAAAGGGCGGACAAAAGCCCTCCCACAGTAAATTATACATATATGTATGTTGAATTGTTTGTATTTTCTTTTCTTGTTGTATTCATGAATATTTTTGTTTTCCATAGTTATTAACGTACTTGTGTGATCTTGAGCACATTCCTGACAGGCATCTGAATAATATGTGCAATAATAAGTGCTAAAATCAGTAAGTGCATTAAACATTTTAGAAAGGTAAATTCTGAATGAAAGGTAGTTCTAGCTCAGACACATACTTAAGCCAATTGAAAACAACAACAAAAATATATGTTACAATTTTAATATGTGGAATGCATTGGAAAAAACAGGTATTTAACATACATATATATTTTTGTTATGGGAGGGCTTTTGTCCACCTTGTTAATTTCATGGAATATCTTTGTCGGCCAGATATTTTCACATAAGGGCTTTTGTCAGCCATGACATTTTTTTAACGGGAGGGCTTTTGTCCAGGAGGGCTTTTGTCCGTTTTCTGATTTCTAGTTCCAGTCCGAATAAAGGTTGCCAAAATATGGAAAAACTTTGTTTGTTTAATTACATTTGCATTATTTCTGTTTATATTTTCTCTAAATTAGATAAAGATAAGAATATTTTGTTATCAGAAGCTTAACACAAAATTTAATTACATGTATACAATGCATAAATACTTTTGAAAAATTGCTTTAAGGATATTATTTGTGTATTTATATAATTTATGTTGTTAAATAGTATTAAATTCTCTTGTGAATTTAATAAGATTATAAACAACCTATTAAGAACACAAGCCTTCAATCACATTTAGGTGTTTATAGATCAAACAGAAAAGTTTGTCTGTGATCATTGAAGTAATCAAATAATAATCAAACATCAAATAGATCATAAAAGAGAAATATTAACAGTTTATTTTACCAATTTTAGCAGTTTTTCCAAATTATAATTGAATGGTTATTAACAGTCTAGGACAGGCTATTGTTCCCTAAATGAACTTGTGAAAACAATCAAGTGTAGGTAATAAGGGGATCAAAGGTAAATGTAGGTCACAGTTTGGCATCAATGTAGACCTTGTCTGTGTCTATAAATACCTTACACTGGGCTAGTTTATCTCAAACCCCAGCAAATAATCATTGGGAAGTGTAACTGTGAAATCTATTTCTTATATATATATATATGCAAATTATAGATATTAAAATTATAAACTCTTGGCTAATAATATAAATCAGTGCTCTTTGAATTAAAAATATATATTTATATTATTTATTTGCATTAGTATATTTTATATTAGTGAATATTCTTTTTGTTCACAACCTTTTTGCAAGTAAATTAAACAGTATGGATCTGATAAAGTCAGCAAGAAAACTTCAAAAGTTGTTGATTACCCACGATGCAATTGTGAAACAAATTCAAGAGATAGGTAAGAATATTTTCTCTGCTGTCAGACATTTTAACATTACGTTTTACATATATATTTCAGCAATGTTCATAAGCATTTCAATAGTTTCATTTTTTTCTAAGAGAGTAGAAGTTCTATAAGCATTTCATTGAAACTCATATGGGTATTTGACTTATCTATAAAAGAATTTTTTTTTATGAGAAAGTATGAGAAAACCAACAAATTAGTGAAATGTTTCCACCTTATTTCAGATAACAAAGTAGAATCTATCAGCAGACGCCTTTTTGTCAGTGACCTAACCTCAGATGACCTTGACAACTCCTTGTTCTACATGCGACATTCATCTGTCATTGGAGTTAAACATATGTTAGAAAACTGCAGACTGCGTATCAATCAACAAGTGACGAAAATTTCCCGCCAAATTATTGCTTCACTACAAGCAGACGACACAACCACCGTATTGGAGCAGACGGAACTAGAATCACCTACCTCTTCCACATTGACAGATATTGCAGCTATACAATACACAAATAATGCCATGATGCAATTTAGATGTAATTAAATTTTACTGATATGAATAAAATTGTCATGGAATTAACTTTTTTGTATGAACAATGTGCAAAACCACTGAAAAAAGTGCTTAGATTTGACAATAGGTGAAACATGAAGGTGCTATTAATTAAAGATGAACAAATAATGTTTCCTGTGTGAATAGAATTGTAAATTATATAGGCAAAAGAATTCAGAGATGAATCAACTGCCAAGGAATTCCATTTGAAATAACTGCTAAATGTTGTCCAAGGTGCTGCTTCATTGTTGTACATGTATGTCCCTTTTCCTAAACTTTAATTCCAAGTTTTATGAGAAAGACATTAATAAACTTGCAAGGTATTAGATCAAACTTTAATTTGGTTGTCATAAAATAATAAACTGAACTGATAGTAAAGTAAAATTGAGGGTTGACCGCAAAACTGCAGTAAGTACGGTAATATGAAATAAAATAGGACTTAGAACAGTTTGTCGGTTAACCCTTGAAATGTCTTGAAAACCCATATAAAGATAGTTCTCATAAAATTTTGTGCAATATTAATGAAAGAAATTCTTAAAATGTGCTTTTTCAATGTAATTTGTCCTACTTGTATTTTGAATATGTTTTTCCTTGCCTATTTTGTTTTGTTTAGAATGTAATGTTTGTTTTCAGGTATAATTGTAATATATAATTTATTTCTTATTTTCAGATGACATAAAATGAGCCATGTCTGGTTGAATTGACAAAATTATGCTCATGTTGTATGATGTAAATTGTTTCTTTGTTTCAGTAATTTACAATGATTTAAATTGAATAGTTCTTTTAGGTATTATGTGGACGCAGCATTATGTTGATGCTTTAATTTAATTCTGTTTCTTTGCATCTTGATATATTGTACATGTATCTATGCAATTGCTATTTATTTATTTATTTGATATGACCATTTATATGAAATAAAATTTGAAAAACTTTTATTCTTTTGTTTACTTATGAAACTTCCATTCCAAGTTGGAAAATTTTGTTAATTGTCAAAGGGAAAGTTTGCCTGTAAAATAATTATGTTGCTTTTTTTAAGAATAGAAAAATACAGCATTGTTTGCGACTGTAATAAACATTTTTTTATAAATTGAAGTCTGAAAATGATATAATTTCATGTGGCATGTAAAAGAAAAAGGCAGTCAAGGTGTACATAAGCATAGCCATAAACTCAGTTGTAAACAGTTTAACAGTGCCACTGATATGGTGTTATTCTGTTCTGTTGAAAAGGTTGAAAGTTTAGCATCACAAGTTCAAGAAATTTCTAGAGCATGGTTGAAATAAAATCAAAATATGGGCGAAAAAAGTTATAATTATTTTAAACCAGGCTTTTTTCACATCACTTCATAAGTACAAGACAGTGACCAAAATTTTGTGTTCATGGTGTTATAAAAGAACATTAACCCTTAGTTATGTTCATGGTGTTATAAAAGAAGATTAACCCTTAGTTATGTTCATGGTGTTATAAAATAACATTAACCCTTAGTTATGTTCATGGTGTTATAAAAGAACATTAACCCTTAGTTATGTTCATGGTGTTATAAAATAACATTAACCCTTAGTTATGTTCATGGTGTTATAAAAGAACATTAACCCTTAGTCTGCTAGCAGCAACAAATCTACCCATACAACCAGTGCAGACAAAGATCAATAATGCCATCTGGAAATGGTCTGCAGTGTACCGTATTCAGTTAGTAAATATTTTGAAATTTTCCCTACAATTGATGAATGATTTTGTCTAGATAAAAAGATGGGCTAGTCTATTTGTTATACTTAACATTGTAAGGGATATGCAACAGTACAATATTGACGAAGATTAATCAATAATGAAATAGAAATACCGGTATGTGAAATGTTTGTATGATGTTTCAGGGCCATTTTTCTGTCAGATGATAAATAATATTTCTTCAAGACATTGGGGCCCAGCAGCCTTACTCTTTATCTGCAGGGGTCTAGCCCAGATACCATCAACAGCATGTCTGGACAGAGAAACTGTTCAAGGACTTAGGTATTTTTTTCAATGCTTGACATTTCAAAAATTTAAATCAGTTTGGTATTTGATAAATTTTGGTTGGTTTTATGAGTATCCCTTCAGATTTTCTGCTCATATAATTTAACACTGGAAAATAATTGTATTATGTAAAGCCCCTTTGGCCTTATGGTTAAGGTTGCTTGACTCGATTCACTTATCAATAATAATATTAATTTAATAATGAAATCCTTAAACCTTGAATGGACTGTTCCTTATTTAAAGCAGGGCTAGTATATCATACACATTCAGCAGGTTTAGTGATAATCATACATTGGTCAAGATTTGTTGACATTATATAGAAAAATTAGTGTGAGGCTGACCAGTATTTGCCTGGTCAACCTAGCCTATGTCAACAGCAATGTAAGTGTTGCTGTAAATGTAATATTCTTGTAAATAATTACATTTTCTTCATCAAAAATAAATATGCTCTTGTTATTTTCCAGGAAATTATTGACAGGGTTTATAGTTGCCATAGATACATATTTTCGAGGCAGCATTCAAGGTTATGTGGTACAGATCTTGATCAAACTTGTGGATAAGGTATTTGGTTATAGTTGTAAATTAAAAAATCTTAAATAATATCTGCTATAGTTAAGAAACATAGTTTATATTTCTTTTATAATAGTCTGACCTATAAAAATGCACACAAAAATATGGATGATACATATATACATAAAAGTACAGCCTGATAACATAAAATTAAGGCTGATATATAAAAATGCACATAAAAATATGGCTGGTATATAGAAATGCACATAAAAGTAAGGAATTGTGGTGTTTATTGATGCATTTTTATGCTCCCCGAAAAATTTCGGGGGAGCATATAGTCGTCGGGTTGTCCGTCCGTACGTACCGTGTCCGGCCCATAACTTTGTTATTTGAAGTCGGATTTTAAAACTATTTCACAGAAATGATCACCATATTGAGACGACGTGTCGCGCGCAACATTTGGGTCGCTTCCTTGAAGGTCAAGGTCACAGCATGACCTTGCAGCAAAATACGTACGTACATACGTCCATCGTGTCCGGCCCATAACTTTGTTATTTGAAGTCGGATTTTAAAACTATTTCACAGAAATGATCACCATATTGAGACGACGTGTCGCGCGCAACATTTGGGTCGCTACCTTGAAGGTCAAGGTCACAGCATGACTTTGCAGCAAAATCGTGTCCGGTTCATAACTTCAGTATTTGAAGTCGGATTTTAAAAATATTTCACAGAAATGATCACCATATTGAGACGACGTGTCGCGCGCAACATTTGGGTCGCCACCTTGAAGGTCAAGGTCACAGCATGACCTTGCAGCAAAATCGTGTCAGGTCCATAACTTTGTTATTTGAAGTCTGATTTTAAAACTATTTCACAGAAATGATCACCATATCGACACGATGTGTCGCGCGCAACATCTGGGTCGCTTTCTTGAAGGTCAAGGTCACAGCATGACCTTGCAGCAAAATTGTGTCCGGTCCATAACTTCATTATTTGAAGTCGGATTTTAAAACTTCTTCACAGAAATAATCACCATATTGAGACGATGTGTCGCGTGCAACATTTGGGTCGCTACCTTGAAGGTCAAGGTCACAGCTTGACCTTGCAGCAAAATCGTGTCTGGCCCATTACTTTGTTATTTGAAGTCAGATTTTAAAACTTTTTCACAGAAATGATCACCATATTGAGACGACATGTCACGCGCAACATTTGGGTCCCTACCTTGAAGGTCAAGGTCACAGCATGACCTTGCAGCAAAATCGTGTCCGGTCCATAACTTTGTTATTTGAAGTCAGATTTTAAAAATATTTCATAGAAATGATCACCATATTGAGATGATGTGTCGCGCGCAACATCTGGGTCGCTTCCTTGAAGGTCAAGGTCACAGCATGACCTTGCAGCAAAATCGTGTACGGCACATAACTTCATTATTTGAAGTCGGATTTTACAACTATTTCACAGAAATGATCACCACAATGAGATATTGTGTCGCGAGCAACATTTGGGTCGCTACCTTGAAGGTCAAGGTCACGGCATGACCTTGCAGCAAAATCGTGTCCGGCCCATAACTTTGTTACTGGAAGTGGGATTTAACAACTATTTCACAGAGATGATCACCATATTGAATCGACGTGCTTCATGCAACATTTGGGTCCCTACCTTGAAGGTCAAGGTCACAGCATGACCTTGCAGCAAAATCATGTCCGGCGCATTACTTCGTTATTTGAAGTCGGATTTTACAACTATTTCACAAAAATGATCACCATATTGAGACAATGTGTTGTGCACAATATTTGGGTTGTTTTTACACTTTGAACTTTGTCTGTGCACAACAAGAGGTATACCTTCCTGTGTCCAAAACCTATTCGGGGAGCATCACCCGGTTCAACTGGCTCTTGTTATTTTAGGTTATGGAGCAATATACATTTGTAAATATATACTATGCAGCTTTGGCTGATATGTACTGTGGTACTGATCTCTTGGACCTGTTTTGGTCCTTGACCTTAATGATAATGTAAATAGTGAATATCCAACAGGGAACATAATTCAATACAAAATTGTTTTATTACATGCTTTTCGGTGGTTTATAGAAATATATCATTGACATAAAACTGGTAATTTCACTGTTTGAAACAGTGAAATTACCACTTTGATAATTTCACTGTTTTGAATTTAAGCCCCTTACGTTGTTTCAGTGAAATACCAGCGTGCACAGTACTGGGTACCAACTTAATGACGTGACGTCGTAAATGACGTCACGTTGTATTATTATTTGGCGCGCTTTTCATTCAGTATTAGGTTAAATGTCTTTTAAAACGTTCCTTTGCATGTAATAAAAAGAAAATTTGTTTAGTTTAGTGTAAGATTGAAATATATTTCACCTTGTGAACACCAAAAGTTCATATTTCACTCGTGGCTGCGCCACTCTTGAAATATACCTTTTCGTGCTCACTCGGTGAAATATATTCCGATCTTACACTGAACTAAACAAATATCCTCTATTTTTCTGTGGACTTGTTTTTATTAAATTATCAAATAAAGAGTATAAAATTTCATTGTTGATGTATATGGTAAAATGAAAAGTGTTTATTGTAGGGTACAGTGCCTTTAGAAGATCTTGCACAGATTTTGTGCCTTGTAAGAAGAGAGGAGAGTTTACAAAGGGGAGCAACTCTATGGACCAGCTGTGTCACATGGTTTCAAGAAGGCGGAGCTGACAAAACAGACTGGGACCATGATGGAATGAGAAAATATTTGGAAAATAGTGTTACACAATATCTGCAAACCAGCCTAGGTTTGTTTATGATTTTCAGTTTAAACCAATATTCATGTAAGAAAAAAAAAATAGCAAACTGAGAGATATTAAAGGAACTGCACTGAGGTCCAAAAGTCTAAAAACATAGAATTTGAATTTCATACATAAATCAACTTGGGCATGTAAAACAGAAAGATCCGCAAAAGGTATTAAAGAAGTATACCCCAAAAAAATTGAAAATCATATATTTATGTGATTCTTAGCCCAATTTGAATGAAACACTTTTCAATTTAGGTAATTTTTTTCACAATAAGAATGACTATTCTGGAAAAAAAAACAGACAGTGAATGATCTGAAATTTTGCACATAAGTTATTTGTCTAGACCTCCATTAAATTGAACATTAAACTTGAAACAAAAATTCCAGTCACATCATGTGAAACAACCTCAGTGGAGTCCCTTTATTCAAATAAAAAATTCAGCAAGGAAGAAGACATTTAGAAAGAAGCATGCACAGCCAGATTTTTTTAGATCTGAAAATTATATTTGCTTTACACTCTATAACTAACAAAACCTAAGGCTTTTATGGTAAAACCTGGCAGCTGGCATACTGTGGGCTTTGCTATGTATCTGTTATACTGTTGGAATTATTTATGCAGAATAAAGGAAAATGACAAACCAAGCCAGATAAATAGACTTTGAACATATAGGAAAAGTAGAAAAGGGACATGTCTGCCTTCAAGACATTTATACTTAATATGATTCGAGTTTCCAATGGAAATTTGGAATGAACTGTTTTGACATTTTTTTTAGACTCAAGATATACAACAGCAGATTCAGCTACAGCTGTGATGGTAGCCAGGTTACTGTTGCTAGCCTCAGATGCTTCAATAGCAACCAAGATGGATGACAGTAATTCAAGCACTTTGATCAGAATCACGCAGACTCTTTCATCAGTGTTAAATTCCATCAATACACATGCGTACATGTCAACGCACAAGGCAGATAAGGCACTTCTTCTGTTGTCACTATTGATGAAAGAGTCGAAACCTAAAGGTAGGTATTTTAGTTTACCTGAGCATAAAATGCTTTTTCGACCGCCTGTTGTTTTTTGTTTCCCATGTGTTGTAAACCACAATGTCTTTGGTAGATCATGTCATTAAGACCTCCTAATTTTGGCCAAATTTGCCAGGAATGATCTGGGGGAGGTACTTTACAAAAATTACAGAAATGGTTCTGCTCTAATGCTTATTTTTGCCTCATCGGGCGAAGAAATAAAATTAAAAAATGAAACTTTTCAATTTTGACAATCTTTTAGTCTATAGATTGTTTGAAAGATTTTGGTGGAAGGCCTTTAAATTCTGAGTGCCTACCATTATTAATGTGTAGAAAATAACTGTTATTGACTACTTAATGCCGCTGAAACAATATGATTTCAAGTAATAAGAATATTTTGTTTATAAAAAGATGAATAAAGTTTAGAAGTAATTTTATTTTGCAAAAAGGTGTCATAAAATGGTGGCTAATTTTCTTTGGCATTTAATTAATCAATCAGTCCTTTACAGTGTAATCCTTAATTCAGTTTTAATATGTATTTCATAAGACTATTAATGGGTACATGGCCGAGTGGTTATCTCTTCGGACTGGTTATCTAGGAATTGCTTGGTGTGTGGGTTCAAACCCTGTCCTAGGCAAGCCTATTTTTCCTTTAGCAAGAAAGTACACTCATTTCACCATACTGTTTGGTTCCAGGAACTGATTTGAGACTGTGTCTCTTTGCTTATAGCTTACTATACAATCGATAAAATAAATTCTGTATAAACTAAAATTGCAACACCATAATATTTTAGGACTTCATAATATTTTAGGGCTTCATAATATATGTAGGACTTCATAATATGTTTTAGGACTTCAAAATATATTTTAGGACATCATAATATATTTTAGGGTTTCATAACATTTTAGGACTTCATTATATTTTAGGCTACATACAAGATGATGATGTAATGAAGGTGATTAATAGTACTGTAGAAAACTGTCAGTCAGAATGTCTGGTGTATGTTGGAAGACAAATATCTGACAATATCATCTCTGTAAGTATACATATATAGTCCATATCTGCTCTGGTTTTGTTTGTTAACCAAAAATAGTGCTAAATTTGTTAATTGTTCTTGTCCTGCTTTGAATTTGGAACAGTCCATTTTTAACTGTTCCACGCATAATTTCTTAAATGGACTGGTCTGGATAGATTCATTCATCATTTTTAGGTAAAATTCAAAATATGTTGTACAGACTGAGAGTAGAATGTTTACAATTTCCTTAAATTTTTTTCAACTTATCAATACAATGCAAAGAAGTATTGTGTTGTTGTTGTTTTTTCATTTTAAATTGAATGAGATATATTGGAAAAACAACAACACAAAACAACAACAACCAAAAAAACAACAAAGCATTAAAGCCCATAAGAAATGTAAATTAGGGAAAACACAAGAAATTTAAATTGGGTTACCTTTAAATTATGAAAATTGATAGGCAATGGAATGTAATTAATAAAGATTTGTTTCATCATATTAAGATGTTGGTTTTCTTATTACAGTTATCAGATTTGAGTGAGATAGAACTATATATGGATTATGTACAACTGTTAGCCAAGTCAGTACCTACAGTGAGAAATGTTCAGTTTGATAGACTGGTAGATACATGTATAGGAATTGTCAACAAACCACAGGAGGTATGTAATGTCTTTGTGATATATTTTTACATAAAAATTTGTTTTGAATTTACATGAATATTTTTACATAAAAAATTGTTAAAGTTTTTAATTTACATTAATATTAAACTTTGTTGGTCTGCATTTTAATGTGCACATTTTTGAAGAAAAGAAAGAAGACAGTGTAACAACATAAATGAAAACACATGGTCATTTTATATAAGCTTTTACTGAAATTCAGTTATCAAAAAAAATTTTTAGTTTCATAAATAAATACAAGAAATTTAGTTTTTAACCAATTTTAGAAATGAAATTTGAAGATACATTAAAATAAAGGTCACTTAAACATTGTCACATTAATATGAATGACATCTTAACAAAAGTGTTCTTGAAAAAAAAATATTTTTTTTCTTTGAAAATAAAATATATTCTTGTAGCAAATTTGCATACATAATCTTCTAATTTGAGGATGAAAATAATTATTCTGATTATATGTTCTGATTATATGAAATCTATGTTTTTCATTAAATTTTATTTATCTTACAGGTCATGAACTTATCAAAGAAAATGAAGCAGTTGTCAGCAGTTTGCATTCTGGGAAGTTTATCATGCTTCCTGTCACATGATCTCACAAAGTCATGTGACCAAGATAGTAAATGGCATGTGGAATTGAGAAATAAAATCTGTGAGATGTTAAAGACATGGAAGTTGACTTCAAACTTCACCAAACCATCAGGTGATCAAAGGTATTGCCTGTGTTAGAAGTGCAGTGTTGAGATTTATAATGCAAATGGTTATTGAAAATAATATGTGATATGTTGGGCAAAAACGGTAAAAAATAAGTGAACATGATAATGTATTGTAAACAAGATTTGAAATATCCTAAAAACTGTTCTATTGATAGTGGTTCAATGCATATTTTTAATCTTTTAAGATATTTACTTGCTGGAAAATCTAAAGTTGTTAACCTTTGCTACCAGTATAGCATACATGCCATAACGTCCCGGATGCCCGGGACAGTCCCGGAAATAAGGGTGTCTGTCCCGGAGATGATTTATGTCCCGGTAAAAAAAAATCTAAAATAATCTACTTTGAAGCAAGAAATTTTACATTTTTATACAATTTTATTGTCAAGTTTTTTTATAAACTAGTCTAGAACACTAATAACGAACGATTATCCCCTAACAGCATTGCAATGGTGACACTAATCCTTTGATTGGTATATCTACGTGCCCCTTCCAACAAACAATTATCGGCAATAATTTTGATCAATTAAAAGATTAAATGTTTACCCCATGTGGCTTCCTGAGCGAAGGTGTCATACACTGTAATTAACAACTGGCCAGTATAAATTTAATCCGCTTGAAGGCAGTTATTAGTGGTCAAACACCGTGAAAATTACCGCTAAATTTGAGGTGATAAAATCTACAAGATTCCGCGAATGTTTCAGGTAAACGACATGGCTAATTGTCATTACTTAACATAGCTTTATTCTATTCTGTGACTGATTGAATTAACGATGCCTAAATACTTAAAAAAGATAGAAAAACTGTTAATAATTATTGACATTCTTGTCTTTTATGGTGTCATTAAATTTGCAAGTTGTATTAAAATACCGGTAATATAGGTTGTATGCCACTATGTAAATTTAAAAAAAATACGTTTGCTGATCAATGCCCCACCTCCAAATGAAAAGTGTCCCGGAAATGAGTCTAAAAATTATGGCATGTATGAGTATAGAGCCAGGCCACTCTTCGCATCTATGCAATCTGACCAGGTTCTATACTGTTAGCTGATCAACTTCCTATTTTTATTTTTAAATCTCCATAATTGATAATGGACTTTTTTCAAGTCCATTTAAGAAATTCAGCATGTGTAGGTTTTAATTTACCATTAACAAGTATGGTACAATTATCTAATATATCTGGGGATGTCAAAATGTAAGAATTACATAGCATTTTATTGTTGGACATGTCACAAATCATGTCACATGTAAATGCATATTTTTCATGTGCATTATTAACTGAGTACAGACACAAGTACTTCTAGCAAAGTACAGTTGTTTTGGATTAAATTAATTTTAAATTATTTAAAGGTATACTTGAATAGCTATTTACATTCTCTGTTTGCATAGTCTGTGATACCTGTGCTAAATGGCTGAACTACACTAGCTAGCATCTAGCCTCTAACTTAAATCCATCATTGAGAAAAGTGAAACATATCCAATATATAATGGGCTGTTTTCTCACATTGTAGACTAAGTCAACAAGAATGGGGAAAAATAAGCTCCCTATTCCTGGAGAATCAGTGGCAGATTGTAGAGATGGCGCTGCAGCACAGTGCTGCCCCCTGGTGTGACATGCTAGAGTTACTGGCCCTTGCAGAGGATACATTATCTGTGGGAACAGAACAGACATCTGTGATAGTGCTAAAGTGCCTTAGGATGATTATACCGAAGGTGAGTAAGACAAAACATGCATGAGAATATTCTTGTAAAATGGATATCACTCGAGAACATGAGATTGAAATCAATAGATGAAATTTTGATGGTCAGTTTGATTGAGTCAGTTCATGAAGGGTAACAAACCTAGCACTGGCTTAAGGACATTTTTGGTAATTTTCATAGAGACATGTAGGCAAAAATTATACTGTTCAATAGAATTCCTTTAAAATTGGCATGCTATTAGAATATGACAGAGATATTTTAAGCAAAAAAAAGTAAGGTGTTACTGATTTCTTAATTGAGTTATCTGCCCTTGATGCGACGAAATGAGGGCTAGAAGTGTATTGTAATACTGAGATAAAGTAGAAGAAATCATAAGGTTAATTCACGTAAGAACTACTGTATGATAAGTAAATATGTTATAATGATTATAAAGGTAGTGCTTGACATTAGCATCAAAAGTCATTGTTCTATTTGGTTAAGTTAAATTATACACTTTTTAAATGCCATTTATTTAACCTGTGTCATATTACAAGGTGACAACTGTTACTGCTCAGTTAGTCCTAAGAAGAACTGCAGCCCTATGTCACAATAAAAGAAAGGACAAATGCATAAAGATAGATGTGAATTTAACCAAATAAAGGTTTAATGCAGTAGTTATGTACTGATATACTAATATGTATGTTTGATATTATGTATATTTCAGGTTAAAGAGATGGTGACTGAGGACAAATTGATATCTACTCTGGAAATGTGCTGGGCAAGTTTTCAGGAGTCTCGTAGAATAGTGGCATTTTGGGACGTGTTAGAAGCATTTGTGCAGGCAGCATTTCAGCCATGTTTGTTACAGCTGGAGGAAGGTTCTTTAGTTATAGTAGCACTTACAGAGGTTAAAATATTTCATATATTTCATAATTATGCCCCCATTTCGAAGAAAAGTGGGTATATTGCTTTGCACTTGTCGGTCCGTCGGTCTGTCGGTCCGTAGACCAAATGGTTTCCGAGTGATAACTAAAGAACCCTTAGGCCTAGGAACTTCAAACTTGGTATGGTGATTGGTCATGACCAGTAGATGACCCCTATTGATTTTGGGGTCAAGGGGTCAAAGGTCAAGGTCACATTGACGGTCACATTGACCTTGTAAGCAAAAACGGTTTCCGATCAATAACTAAAGAACCTTAAGGCCTAGGGACTTCAAACTTGGTATGGTGATTGGTCATGATCAGTAGATGACCCCTATTGATTTTGGGGTCAAAGGTCAAGGTCACATTGACCTCTTGGGTAAAAACGGTTTCTGATCAATAACAAAAGAACCCTTAGGCCTAGGAACTTCAAACTTGGTATGGTGATTGGTTATGACCAGCAGATGACCCCTATTGATTTTGGGGTTAAGGGGTCAAAGGTCAAGGTCACATTGACCTTGTAGGTAAAAACGGTTTCCGATCAATAACGAAAGAACCCTTAGGCCTAGGGACTTCAAACTTGATATGGTGATTGGTCATGATCAGTAGATGACCCCTATTGATATTGGGGTTAAGGGGTCAAAGGGCAAGGTCACATTGACCTTGTAGGTAAAAATGCTTTCCAATCAATAACTTAAGAACCCTTAGGCCTAGGAACTTCAAACTTGGTATGGTGATTGGTCATGACCAGCAGATGACCTATTGATTTTGGGGTCAAGGGGTCAAAGGTCAAGGTCACATTGACCTTGTAGGTAAAAACGGTTTCCGATCAATTAACTAAAAACGCTTAGGCCTAGGAACTTCAAACTTTGTATGATGATTGGTCGTGACCAGCAGATGACCCTTATCGAGTTTTGGGTCAAGGGGTCAAAGGTCAAGGTCACATTGACCTTGTAAGTAAAAACGGTTTCTGATCAATAACTTAAGAACGCTTAGGCCTAGGAACTTCAAACTTGGTATGGTGATTTGTCATGACCAGCAGATTACCCCTATTGATTTTGGGATCAAGGGGTCAAAGGTCAAGGTCACATTGACATTGTAAGTAAAAACGGTTTCTGATCAATAACTAAAGAACGCTTCGGCCTAGGAACTTCAAACTTGGCATGGTGATTGGTCATGAGCAGCAGATGACCCCTATTGATTTTGGGGTCAAAGGTCAAGGTCACATTGACCTTGTATATTAAAACGGTTTCCGATCAATAACTAAAGAGCCCTTAGGCCTAGGAACTTCAAACGTGGTATGGTGATTGGTCATGACCAGCAGATGACCTATTGATTTTGGGGTCAAGGGGTCAAAGGTCAAGGTCACATTGACCTTGTAGGTAAAAACGGTTTCTGATCAATTAACTAAAAACGCTTAGGCCTAGGAACTTCAAACTTTGTATGATGATTGGTCGTGACCAGCAGATGACCCCTATTGAGTTTTGGGTCAAGGGGTCAACGGTTAAGGTCATGACCAGTAGATACTTGATAACCCTTATTAATTGTTTCATCACTGAGTCAGAAGTCATGCATAATAACCTTATCACATGACTTATTGGCTGCTGATAGGGGGCATACATGTTTTACAAACATATCTTGTTTTTATAGCCTTGTATTAACATTGGCGAAAGCATATTGTTTGTGGTCAGTCTGTTTGTTTTTGTGTCACAAAGCTTTATCACTGGCTATAAAACATTGAAGTCCTTCAACCAATAAGCTTCCAAAGTTTCCAAGTGAATGCATTTTGACTTTAATATAAAATTTGAAATAAAGAAATTTTGATAACAAATTCAGGCCTATATTTTACTTTGGTTTGGCAAGGTGCTTTTTTTAAGCTGACTTTAGTATATTTTGAGATGCATTTTTAGCTTGACTATTAGAAGAATAGGGAGAGCTTTTGTACTCAGGTTTTAGCATCTGTGTAACAATTTGCTTAAAATTTTGGTTTCAAGCTGGTTTCTCCAAAACTTAGGGAATGTGTTGAAACTTCACACACATATTAAAGAGCTTAATGGGAGATAGATGTCTAAGTCCCATAAACTGTCATATGGATTTTGACAGAATTATGGCCCATTTTGAGCTTACAAATTTCTACATTATCCAGGGTCTTGTTTTACTATCAAGCACTGAGTTGATCACACTGTCCTACCATCAGTTGTTGTTGCACTAAGCCACTAACAGTTCCTATTAATTTCAGTATGCAGAAAAGTTGATAGAGGTTGGAAAGGACAAGAATGGTGTGGTGAATGCACTTGCCACTCAGCTGTGTAAGGTATTGTGCGAGCCTGATATGTTACTTCATGCTGACAAGTTTATTACAATCATTGTAGACTTGTCTATGTTTGGTGCTCTCATCAGGAGGGGTGTCAGGTATTATATTCTTATAAACTATAGGAACATTTTGACTGCTCTTGTAGAGCTTTAGTTTTGTTATGTTATTATTGGAATCCACCCGAAAAAATGAATTTGATAACTTCTCAATAAGTTTATACATAATTATACCCCCGAAACGAAGTTTGGGGGGGTATATAGAAGTCACTCGGTGGTCGGTCGGTTGGTTGGTCAGTCGGTCCAGCCGCCCGTTGCATTTTCCTTGTCCAGAGCATAACTTGAAGACTAATGGTTGGAATTCAATATAACTTCATACAATGGTCAAGCACATTGAGAGGAAGTGCAGTGCATAAGAACCATAACTCCATCTTCACTAATTACAGAGTTATTGCCCTTTGTTACTTTTTCCTTGTCTATCCAGCTAGCTTACGGAACGTCGGTGGTTCTACTCAGGTGCCCGTTCGTGCCTGAAATAATGCACGGAAGGGCACCTGAGGTCTTCCTCCACCAGTAAAGCTGGAACGTCGCGATATGACCTATACTGTGTCGATGTGACGTAAAACCCAAAAACAAACAAACAAACTTTTCCTTGTCCAGAGCATAACTTGAAAACTACTGGTTGGAATTCAAAACAACTTCATAAAATGGTCAAGCACACTAAGGGGAAGTGCAGTGCACAAGAACCATAACTCCATCTAAAGTAATAACAGAGTTATTGCCCTTTGTAACTTTTCCATTGCTATCATTTGTCCGGACCATAACTTGAAGACTAATGGTTGGAATTCAGTATAACTTCATACAATGGTCAAGCACATTAAGAGGAAGTGCAGTGCACAATAACCATAACTCCATCTTGACTAATTACAGAGTTATTGCCCTTTATTACTTTTCCTTGTCTGAAGCATAACTTGAAAACTACTGGTGGGAATTCAAAACAACTTCATACAATGGTCAAGCACAATAAGGGAAAGTACAGTGCACAAGAACCATAGCTCTATCTAAAGTAATTACAGAGTTGTTGCCTTTTGTTACTTTTCCATTGCTTTCTTTTTCCGGACCATAACTTGAAAACTACTGGTTGGAATTCAAAACAACTTCATACAATGGTCAAGCACAATAAAAGGAAGTGCAGTGCACAAGAACCATAACTCCATCCTGACTAATTACAAAGTTATTGCCCTTTGTTACTTTTACTTGTCCAGAGCATAACTTGAAAACTACTAGTTGCAATTCAATACAACTTCATTCAATCATCAAGCACATTTAGAGGAAGTGCAGTGCACAAGTGCACAAATAACAGAGTTATTGCCCTTTGATACTTTTCCTTGTCAGGTGCATAACTTTAAAACTAATGTTTAGAATTCAATGAAACTTCATTCAATGGTAAAGGCTAAATTTAAAGGGAAATGCAGTTTTTAAAGAAGCTCTCTTTTCCCTTTTTTGGGATTTTTAAAAAATTTAATTCAAAAAAACTTCACCCAGTGGTAAACCCAAAATTAAAAGCGGAAAATAAACATAACTCTTTTTTCCATTTCTTTTGCAAGGTCTTTTTTACATTTACTTCCTTTTTCCGAAGCAGTTTTCCCTGGGTTTTAAATTTCAAAATTTAGTGATATTTTTCTTTTTATTTTAAAATGCTTATTAGGGAAGATAAAAGAATAAATGACTTTTTTAATTTCCCTTTCCGGGAAACCCAAACAAAAAATTTAAAGATTGAGTTTTTAAAGTTTCTTTTTAAATTTGAAACAATGGCTTTTCTTAACGGGTTTTAAAAAAGCAGCTATTTTAAGAATACTTTTTGTGACTCCCTAACCACCAAAACCCTTCAAAAATTTTGTAAATTTAAAAAGCTTTTTTTTTCCTGAAAAAAACATACATTTATAGCAAAAATATTGAGAAAAAAAACTGGCGAAAAAAATGTCTTATGGTTATCAAGATTGTTATCCTAGTGTATGGAGAAAAGGCCATCTGCCTCTATATACATAACAGAGTACTTTTTTCTTAGAGAATCCCTTGAAATCGCGCATTTGTACAAGAACTTACCATTTCCCTCATTCATTCATGTTTGATTAGAGTTTGCACTGTACGGTGATTTACTGTTAAACTGTTTTATTTTCTCAGACAAGTGCATGATATATGTGCGGCATTGGAAACAGATGGTGATTCCTGTCCAGCTCATGGCCTTGTTAAACCGTAAGTTGTCTTATACGTAAAGCTGCCAAAAAATCTGTCCTTACTGCTACGTGAAGAATTAAATGTTAATTCTGTACTTATGACTACATAGAAACAATTATAAAGTTTAATTGAAGCGTGTGAAAGTTTACTGGAGCAAAACTTAAATTAAACAGATTTATTTAATGGGTTTTTTTTTTGAGAATTAAACTTATATGATAATATGTTAAAAGGTTTTACTGCATTATTAGTTTAGAATAAAAGTACAGACATTTTTGTTTTATTCAAAAGAAACATTTATATTTTTTTTATACATTTACAATGAATATTTCACATTTTTCAGATATTGAATTATCACTATTTGTTCCCCCTATCATATAGAATGTGCAATGAAGATGTTCTAGTCCGAGTCTCAGTCATCAATTTATTGTGTCTACTGAATCCTGACAACCAGTCTCACTGTTGCCTAGCAATGAAGATAATGAAACGCTGTCTAAAGGTGTATGATGATGTAGCTAAAGGCAGTACAAACAGGTTCTCTAATAGCCAGGTCCATAGACAAAGACACAGGTTAATACAGACTGTATTACTGTTACAGGCATTTTTGCAAAGGTTTTTTTACAGATCTAAAATTTATAATAAAAAATTTAAATTAAAATTAAATTTTTTAAAATAAAAAATTTTTGGGGGGCCCTTTGATTTAAAATTTTTTTTGGGGGGAATCCCCAATAAGGGGGGGGAAAAAGGGTTTTTTTTGTAAACCCCGTGAAATCTGGCCCTCTCCCCGGTAAAAAGGGGGGCAATTATTTTTAATTGGGGAATTCCCAAACTTTGTTTTAAAAAAACCAAAAAACTTTTTTTTTAAATTTTTGGAAAGCCTAATTGGTTCCAAGAAGGGTGATTATTTTGGTGTCTCCCTCTAAAACAAGGAATTTTGGGGTTAAAGTCGAAACAAAGGTTTATGGCCATTTTCCTATATGAACCTTATGAGCCATATACCCCATTTTTGCGGAGTTTCAAAAATTTCAAAATTTCACTTTTTCGTTTTTTAAATGTTGAAATTCTGTTTAAAACCCGGGGTGCTAGGGGGCGTGGACGGTAACTTGCACTTTCCAGTACCGTCCATGAACAGGCTCAATCAAACCGAGCCTGCAACAATTTACAATTTTGTCGTGTTGGGCCTTCTTTAGGGATTCTGTTTTTCACTATTTTATTTTGTTGTATGACACTAGTATTAGATTCTGGAAGCAAGGTCAAGAGTGATTATGGTGTCTGCCTCTTAACACAGGAATCTTGGGTTCAAGTCGTACTAGGTTTACAGCCATATTCTTAATATACTGTACCTAAAACATGCCTGGAGAATTATCTGAAGTATTGCTCCTTCAAGGAAGATGTAAGTAACTATCTGACGGCAACAGTGACAGTGGGATGTAAAACCCAGCCAAAAATGAAAAAAGATATGTTTCTTGTTGTCAAAGAAGGACAATATAGTTTAGATTTAACAGTACTAGATCGATTGATTTGCCTAGACCTGAAAACCTTGAAAAATTATATCTTGAATAAAACATTTCATTAACTGTTATCTTTTTTGTGTTTCAGGACTATGTAGATGAACTTTGGAAGATCATCTGGGGCCATTTAGAATGTGAGACCCAGCCTTCAATTAGGCATCTGCTGGAATGGGTTGCTATGTGGCTAATGCATAGACATAGGCACCTGAGAGAACAACTCTGGCTTCTATTTGAAAAGGTAAGATTATTTGTACCTTTTATACAATGATAAGAAATTTTAAAGGGACTCTACAGTTTTTTTTTACATGATGGGACTGGAAGTTATTTTTAGCTCACCTGAGCACAAAGTGCTCAAGGGTGAGCTTTTGTCATCACTCTGCGTCCGTCGTGCGTCCTTCAAAAAATGGCATCAAACTTTTCAAACAACATCTCCTCCTAAACAACATGGCCAATTGCAACCAAACTTTACAGAAATGATCCTTAGGTGGACCCCTTTCAAAGTTGTTTAAAAATTTAAATTCCATTAAAAACTCTGGTTGCTATGGCAACAAATAGGAAAATCTTTTACAATCTTCTTGTCAGAAACCACAAGGCCTAGATCTTAGATATTTGATGTATAGCATCCTCTAGTGGACCTCTACCAAAATTGTTCAAATGATGACCCCAGGGTTAATATTGGCTCCGCCCCGGGGGTCACTTCATTTTTGTGTCGCCTTGAAAAGGTGACATATAGGGGTTACTTTTGTCGGCGGCGTCTGTGTCGGCGGCTTTGTCGGGTGTCGGCGTCCCATAAAAGCTTGTCCGGAGCATAAACTCAGTCACTATAAGTCTGATTGACTTCAAACTTGGTATGCATGTTCTTTCAATAACCCGAAGTGCAGTGCACAAGGACCGGTACTCTGCAGTTCTTTTTTTTTGAGTTATTGCCCTTTGTTAATTTTCATACTTTAATTTTGTCCGGGCCATTTCTCTTCAACTAAAAAAGCTATTGACTTGAAACTTCATAGGATGATAGATCTCATTAAGAAGAAGTGCAGTGCACAAGAACCGGTACTCTGCACTTCCTAATTTTTGAGTTATTGCCCTTTGTTAATTTTCATACTTTAATTTTGTCCGGGCCATTTCTCCTAAAGTATAAAAGCCATGGACTTGAAAGCCATGGACTTGAAACTTCATAGGATGATAGGTCAAATTAAGAAGAAGTGCAGTGCACAAGAACAGGTACTCTGCATTTCTTATTTTTTGAGTTATTGCCCTTTGTTTATTTTCATACTTTAATTTTGTCCGGGCCATTTCTCCGAAAGTATAAAAGTTATGGTCTTGAAACTTCATAGGATGATAGATCTCATTAAGAAAAAGTGCAGTGCATAAGAACTGATACTCTGCATTTCTTATTTTTTTGAGTTATTGGCCTTTGTTGATTTTCTTCCTTTATTTTTGTCCTGGTCATTTCTCCTCAAGTATGAAAGCTATGCACTTGAAACATCATAGAATGATAGATCTTATTGATAAGAAGTGCAGTGCACAGAAACTGCTGCTCTGCACTTATTATTTTTTTAGTTATTGCCCTTTGTTATTTTTCATATTTCATTTTTGTCCTGGCCATTTTTCCTAAACTACATTGTTCACAAGGCAACACATCTGACTCGCGGAGTTCTAGTTTTATATAGATTATATAAGGAATCTTTAAAAAATCTTCTTGTCGGAAACTATTCGGCCCAGAGCTTAGTTATTTGGTATGTAGCATCTTCTAGTGGACCTTTACCAAGATTGTTAAAATTATGACTGTAGGGTTAATATTGGCCCTGCCCAGGGGGTCACTTAATTTTACATAGACATTGTCTGTCCGTAAACTTTTACTTTAAATGACATCTCCTCATAAACCGCTGAGCCAATTTCATCCAAACTTCACAGGAATGTTCCTTTGGTGGTCACCTTTAAAAATTTTAAAGAATTTAATTCCATGCAGAACTCTGGATGCCATGGCAACCGATAGGAAAAAACTTAAAATATCTTCTTTTAAAAAACCCAAAGAGGTAGAGCTTAGATATTTGGCATGAAACATCTTCTAGTGAATGTCTATCAAATTTGTTCAAATAAATGCCCTGGGGTCAAAATTGGCCCGGCCCCGGGGGTCATTGATTTTCCCTATATGCATATAGTAAAGGCTTAAAAAATCTTCTTTTAAAGAACCCAAAGAGCTAGAGCTAAGATATTTAGCATGAAACATCTTCTAATGAGTGTCTATCAAGTTTGTTCAAATAAAAGCCCTGGGGTCAAAATTGGCCCCGCATCGGGGGTCATAGATTTTCCTTATATGTGTATTTCAAAAACTTTAAAAAAAATCTTCTTTGAAAAAACCCAAATAGCTAGAGTTTAGATACTAAGCATGAAACATCTTCTAGTGAGTGTCTACAGGGTTTGTTCAAATAAAAGCCCTTGGGTCAAAATTGGCTCTGCCCCATAAATTTTATTTATGTGTATAGCAAAAACTTAAAAACTGGCCCCGCCCTAGGGGTTTCATTGCTTTTAACTATATGTGTATAGTTAAAACTTAAAAATTCTTTTTTGTATTTTCTGATCGCAAGATCAGTAAATACATAGCTAACATCCACGGTCTAACACAAATTTTCCTAACAGACCTAACAACGCAAAGTAGTTCTCACTCAGAACTGCTTAAAAACCAGCAATTTAAAATAAAGAATAATTTTTAATGTATGCATTTAACGAATTACAGTGCATTAAAAGTTTAGAGTAGTCAATAGAAATATGAGGTTACAATCACAAATTTCGCGGATGAATATCTTTTTTACCCAATGAAAAATGTTCGGCTATTTCCGTAAAGCTTAATCAATGAAAATGCTATTTTTAGCTATGTCGATTACCGAATACTCCAGAGCGTAGTACACATAAATCTGACTGTCGAGTAGTGGAATATATACATGTCGTACTGTTTTGGCGGGAAGATTTTCGCTAAATTATTTTCATCAGTGTTAAACAACAGGTTTATAGTGAAGAAAATACCTCGAAATTAGTAAGGATTACAAACACGGAATGGAAATTCTCAATTTAGAATTACAATGTATTTGTTATTATTCAAGCTACATATGTATTACTTCACCGTGGTACAGAGGTAGCGCGCTTGTTTAGGGTGTGAGAGGCCCAAGGTTCAAATCCTAGTCGAGGCAACTTTTTTTTTTTGAAGTGTCTTTTTAAGGAAGTAGCCACGATATGCAAGGATAAAGTATGGCTGTCATAAAAAATGAAAATGATTTTTTGATGCAACTCTAGTCATGCAAAATTCCATATGTATCAATCTCAAACTGTTATAGACGCAGTCGTAAGATTAATTATAGTATATAAAAATAAACTTATATAGGAAAATACATACAGATAGTCAGTATGATTTAGATTGCAAAGATCAGAAAATACCACAGAGGTTGCAGCCCTTTGATTTTAAAAACTCAACGACCTAGACCTTAGATGTTTAGCATGAAACATCTTCTAATGGGTGTCTACCAAGTTTGTTCAAATAAAAGCCCTGAGGTTTAAACTGGCCCCGCTCTGGGGGCCTATATACAGGTGAGCGACTTCAGGGCCATCATGGCCCTCTTGTTAAGATTAAAGTTCCATTTAAACCAATAACTTGTGTGCAAACTTTTAGATCATTCACTCTCCCCGTTTTTCCAGAATAATTTTTTGAATTATGAAAAATGGCCTAAAAGGGCTATGAATAGCAAAAAAAAAAATGTTTAAGTTTGATTGTGTTGGAAGCTGTAAGCTTATTGAAACACTCTCTTATCCTTTCCTGGAACCACAAGGCACAACGAGTTTCTTGCATACAGAAACAACGACTTGCTCCAGATAAGCCTTGGCAAGAAGGTTGGCAAGAAGGCCTGCTGTGATGTTTGACTTTTATTGTAAATATTTATACAAAGACAAATGTTTCTAGCTGGCAAGAGCTAGTGCAAAAGCAGAAAGATAAAATGGAAAAAGATTTTTATGGTGATATGTTAAAGGTCACAAATTAAGAAACAAGCTATCTTAGTTAATAAAAATTAGAAAAATTTTACTTCGATTAATTTTAAATTTCCCAAATTTGTTTTTTTATAACCCTCTGTAATTTCAACTATACGCCTTCATATATGTAGACATAGTGTTTATAATTGTTTATTTACAGTACAGAGAAACCAAGAATCTGACTCTATGTTCTCTATTATGTATTGTTATACATATGGGACCTCACCTGCCTACCAGTGAACAGGTAATTACTAATTCTTCCATATTCAACTAACAGCAATCTCTAGTTGTACAAAGTTATTCAGATTTGAAATTTGATCTGAACAGTAATTTGAATATGTACAATGTAGTTCCTAAACCAAAATTTTGCGGAATTTGTTTTCTTTCCTTGATTTTATAGATCCTAGAGGTAATTCTTATATGAAAAAAGTAACTGAATCTTTATATGCCTAAACTGGATCTTTATATGTCACGACTAATGGGTAGAGGGAATATTCATTTTACCTTGTTTGTCATTCCTGCTGTCCGTTTGTGGACTGTCAAAACAATGGAATGTAAAGAATATATTTTTAGTTTATAAGCCATTGATTTATTGTGCAAGACAATAGCCAAAAACTAAAAAAGTTTTGTTTAATTTTAAGTGTGTACACTGATGAGTAAAGAATGTATATTTACATGCAGGTCTATGTTACATTTATTATTAAATTGTTTTATGTGAAGGTAGCCAACTACCTTACTACTGCTACCAATGTATCAGAACATGTTCCAGAATATACATGTACCTTACATGCACTTAAGTAATGAGGGTCATCCTAAACTAGTAGAAAACATGGAACTAGCTATATGGTATTAATATTGCCAGTGTACCAGCCTAACAAAAAAATAAAAACAAAAAACAAGGAACCATACTTATATTAATGTTATCCTGAACTTGTTCAAATTTAAAAGTAGCAATATGTTTCAGTCTGTGTAAATCTTAAAGTGCAACAAAAAGTATGACTAAAGAAACATATTATTGATTGTTGTTTCAGACTGAATACTTCAAACAGGCAATACCTAACATACTACCATGGTGTATGGCTCACCATTTCCACACCAGGATTTACTCTCAAGCCGTCATGGCCAAACTTTGGGAACAGTGTCATCAACTAGGTCTTCATGACATTGTGAAACAAAATGCTATACTTACCTGTATTGTGGACTTTAGTCAGCAAAATAGGTATAGAGTTTAATGTCCATTTTAGCATTAAGATATTTAATTGGTTACTGTAAGCCACTGCAGCAGTGCTTCATTCAAGCTATCCAGCAGAAAGTAGATTTATGGAGGGCCATTTAAGGTCTTACTCCAACAGCAAAGCTAGTAAGCACCGTAAGTCCAATTTTGATTTTACTGAGAGAAAAAAAGCACATTTTTAATGCAAAAAATGTTTTACATTTATAGTTAGTCATTGAGTGAAATTAATTTCAATTTTGCTTTGTTAAAAGAGTAAAAAAATAGCATAAATAGATAAATGGAAGCATATTCTGATTTAAGTTTGGATCTGAGAAAGAAAAAAATGACAGTCATGGTCCATAACTTCTTCTTAAGTACTTCTTTTTGGATGTATCACAAAACCAAAATCTTATATGGATTTAAAAGGCTTATTTAAAAAAAAATAGCTTAGTATGTTGCCATTTGTTATTTTCAGAAATTCCACAAGAAATGTTAAGAAACTGCTGGACAGTTTCTTCTTCAAGTTTCTGGACTTTGAGAGAGATTTTACTCTTGAGGTATGTTAAATGATTTGAAAACTAGAGGGTGCTTAAATTTCAAACTTGCCTGATGTATATAAATTTTTCTGTATTGGTACATGTATATGCTTATATTTCATACTTACTTGATATATATATAAATTTTTCTATATTGGTATGTGTATATGTAAACTGTAGGCTGTTCTACTGAAGTTATTAGATATAATTTTGTTAGAGACATATGGGAATGAGATCTATATTTCCATTTAAAGCTGTAAATTACATATTTACGTACATGTACCTAAAGATCACACCTAGAATTGTGTTAAGTTTTATGAAAACTTAAAAAATTGTTCTTATTAGTAAAACTGGTATTACATGTACAAACCTAATTGATTTAACCCAGCAAAATATATTTACTTTCCACAGAAATTACTTATACCATGTCAAATTATGCAGTCATTTATCTGACTCTGTTCTGTGAAGGGGTAGAATTCTGGTAATAAAGAAGTTTTGTCATTTGTTGCATAAAACATTAAAAGTTTTACTAAATTGGTTTCCTATTTCATTTCTAGAATATACTAGTAATCATTATTAGTGTTTCTTATTTATTTGAAAATTTGTTTCTTTTTCAGACAATATATAAAATAATGTCAATGATGACATCACTGACAGAAGAGGACTGGATCCAGCCGGAACAATTTATAGAGAACAGTTCTATATGGAATGATGGGACTGGTTCCAGTTTTATTCAACTGAGAAATGTTGCTAGGGACTTTGAGCAGTGTGATCCCGGTTTGTGGAAATACATCAGTAAGTACTCTGGTTATGATTTATTTATTAAACATGGACGGGGCTGGACTGTAATAAGAATAAAAATATATCATCATTTAGTAATAATGACAATCAGTAATAATAATATTGTAATAACTTTATTATACATGAATGTTTTGATAATGTCAATTTGAATTTGAGGCATTAGTATGAATACTCATTAAGGTAAACTTAAACCACTATATCATGATTTCTGGCTATTTTTGTTTAGTATAAAGATAAAAAATTCAAGCTTGATTGTGATGATAGCTTGTAGTTTATTCAAACCAATCGTTGAGCCAGCTTCTTGGAATTATCTTATGAGGAAACATGGTCGAACCCTGTATGACTCAAGTCTATGATCATTTAATTGAGAGGCAAACTCTTCATTATTGTGGTCACTTTCCCAATCAGTTTATATTCATTCATATATTATCATTTATATTGAAACAAATGTGTATTACATAAGGAAAACAAACATATTTGTAGAATTAAATTTTACATTTTAGCAGATGAATTTGGTTTCATGTATTTATATTTCTAGATCATGCTTCAATTCCAGGTCTGAAGAATCCAGCAGACGAAGATGCAGCAGAAGACACTGTAGCAGACGACACTGAGAGTGATGTACAGAAGAAGATAATGCCATGGCGACAGATGATGATGGACGAGGAAACAATGTCAGAAGTAGATCATGGTGTGAAACAACACATCGAGGGAGGGCTGGTTGTTGTTACTTCACTGATAAACAAAGTGCCGAACTTGGGAGGTAATTGAAGATTGTTTTAAATTCTGTCATTTTATCCCTTAACCCCACTGAATGGACTTGTCTAGTACCTACTTCCGGAACTGTTTGTTATAAATTTTAGGGATATCAAGATGAAAATTTGAAGTTGGCCAGCCAACAGTTTAGAACCTGGTCAGACTGCCCAGTAATTCAGGCTGGCTTGGCTCTATTCTGGTGGCAAAAGCTTATTCACTTACGGTTTGAGCAGCTTAAAGGTTGACTGACCTTGACCTTGGATATATATAGTTATATTTAACAAAACGCAAGGAGGGTAGTTTATACCAGATGGTAATAATATGAGATTTCATAAGAATCAATTGTAAAATGTTTTATACATTTGTCAAATATTGCAAAAGTTTGAAATGGTCTCAAATGAATAATAATTATGTGACTCTTAACAAACATTGAAAGTTTATGAGCTCCTTAATTGTATATAAAATGCCTTGTCTAAAATTGATTCACGAACATGATCCTTGATTAACCCTTGACCAGAATTGTTAAAGAAGTAAGATATTTTGTGACCTTCTGTGAGTATTAATTAAATTTATTTTAATTACCTTAGGAAGTTGTTACCTGCTTTCTTTAAAGACAATAATCAGTGTTGGTATTCATTTACTTATTATAAAATTGAAAAATTGATATTTTACACTCATGATTATTTTAGGTTTATGTCGGACCAGTGAGATATTTGGTGTATCAGAGTATGTATTAGGAAAGATGGGATATGTAGATGACAAAGCGTTTCAAGTACTGAGTGTGACTGCTCATAAATGGATCCCAATAACAGAGGTATGGAAATTCTGATACCTGTATTTTACAGATAAATAAGTGGAATGTTAACTTAAAAAATGTGATTTTTCTTATCTTTTTAATGGATTTTCCTTGAAATTTTGTAATCTGGAGATTACGATAATATTTTAAGTACCAGGTTATAAAAAGTCCTGAGTTACAGTTGGACTGTCAGAACAAGACCAGACTGTCACAAATTTTGGGATGAGAAGGATTTTTTTATCATAAAGTTTCTCTATCATAAATACTGCAGTACTGGTTTCCTAGCAGTTCCCGACCCTTAGCAGTTTTCCGGCCCTTTATCATTTCTATCCAGTACAGTCCATTTTTACCAGTAAAGCATCTAAGTTTCTTCAGCAAATCAGAGAGACATTTGTTTCTATGAAATACAAGTTAAAATTGTACAGTGTTTTATATGTTTTGAAGTTACGTAAGAGAACTTACAACATTTAAGAATAAGTACATGTAACACCTTGGGAATTCTATTTTGATGCCCATGCGCAATAACTGAGAGCCCATTCTATGTAAATTAATTCTTTTGATCAATATAATGCAGGCGATATGGAAAAGGTCTGAAAGTTCAATTTCTTTTATAAAATCATCTTAACATTGCTAACTGGTACTGAATTACAAGCAAAATAAAAAAGGTTCAAAAAACTGCTATGAAATTTTGCATCAAAGTAAGAAAAGGTGTTACATTCCAGGCCTATGTTCCAATTAAAAAGTAAAGTAAAAAAGCTACATTAAAAACATGCTTATTCTGGACAGGTACCTAAATTTGTTCTGTCAAAGTTTTGTACTTGTCTGTAGACAGATTTTATTTTATTTGTTAAAAAGTGTGATTTTGGGTTGGGAAACTGCTAGGATACCAGTACACAAAGTGTTTGCAAATTTGCCATTTAACATTAATCAAAATTTAATTTGACAAAACTTACAAAGTTAGAAATATGTAGGTTAAAAAATACTTCAGATATTATCTGTTGCCCTTAGTTATTTAATGAAATAGTAAGCTAAAGTGTTTTATTTTCATGTTCAGTTGTAACAAGTAAACATCTTTAAAAGCATTTGGATATGATTTAAACAGGCAAACATTTTGTGTTAATGACATGATTTCAGTTGGCTTACTAGAGGTTTGTGATCCTGCTGAGGTACTAGCTCGTACATTTGTAAGACAGTAGATTTAGGTTATTAACTTTTACCATGTTTTTGATAAGATTTATTACATTTATGATGTAACTTTCTCTGTTTTGTTACTTTTATGATGTAACTTTCTTTGTTTTGTTACTTTTATAATGTCACTTTCTTTGTTTTGTTATATACAGGTACATGAGACAAAATTGATTGACTATTTACAACAGAAACGACAGGAAGGTTATACACTAGTGGGTGTGGAGCAGACAGCAAACAGTGTATGCTTAACTGAATACACGTTTCCTGAGAAAACCTTACTACTCCTTGGGTATATCTTTAAAATATTTGTTGTGCTTGACCAATGTTTCCAGTTGTATATTAAACCCTTTAGCCTGGTGGCGGTCTTGAAAGTTTTTTGTACACACTAACCCAACTCTATATTGTAGATAGCAACAGATTTAGCTTGTCTGTTTCAAAGGAAAAGTTCAGCTATTATGTGTGCTGTGTCTTTCTTGTCATCATTGACATTGTCGTAGTCATGCAAAAATTAAATGTAGCCACTTTTTGGCAAACAATTTTGAAATTAACAACACAAAACTTGGGGGCATTTAGATTTACCCTTGTCTGTCCGTTCCTCCATCTGTTTTCATTTTGTGTCGCACATTGCTCAAACAGTATTTGTCTTAGAGTCATGAAACTTTTACAGAAACGTTGATCAGCATGTTTAGTTGTGCACCTGGGTAATTTTGTGTATATATATTTAGTATTTTTAGAGTTATTGCACTTGACTTAGTAAAAATTTGCAATTTTCAACTTGTGTCGCACATAGCTCAAAAAGTATATGGGCTAGAGTCATGAAACTTTACAGGAATGTTGATCAGTATGTGTAGTTATGCACCTGCATATTCGTGTGGATATATGTAGTATTTTTTTAGTAATTGCCCTTGACTTAGTAAAAATTTACAATTTTCAATTTGTGTCGCAGGTAACTCAAAAAGTATTTGACCTAGAGTCAAGAAACTTTACAGGAATTTTGATCAGTTTGTGAAGTTGTGCACCCAGGGTTTCGCTTGTGGATTTATTCTGTTTTGTCAGAGTTACTGCCCTTGACTTAGTAAAAATTTGCAATTTTCAACTTGTGTTGCACGTAGCTCAAACAGTATTTGTCCTAGGGTCATGAAACTTTACAGGAATGTTGATCAGCACCTGGGTATTTTTGTGTGTATTTATTTAGTATTTGTAAAGTTATTGTCCTTGACTAAGTAAAAATTGGCAATTTTTAACTTGTCACACATAGCTTAAAAAGTATTTTACATAGAGTCATGAAACTTTGGTGAGAATAAGTAGTTGTGGGCCATGGGTTTTGCATGTAGATTTATCTATTATTTTAGAGTTATTGCCTTTGCCTTTGACTTAGTAAAAACCGTTTTATTATGTTGTGTTATTTGTTCCTTGAGTGCTTGAGTTAGAACCAACTTTACAGGAATAATGATCAACATCACTGTGGAACTATGCACCTGGTATTTTGTTTTTTCAGTTTTGTAAGAAGTATTGTCCTTGAGTTAGTATAAATTTGCAATTTTTAACATGTTCATGCATAGCTCAAAAAATATTTGACCTGTAGGCCTGAAAGTTTACAAAAATGTTAGTCAGCATGTGTACTTATGCACCTTGGTGTTCGCTTGTGGATTTATTCAGTATTTGTAAGTTCTTGCCCTTTACTTAGTAAAAGTTTTTTAGTTTTCAACTTGTGGCACATGTAGTCCAAAAAATATTTGACCTAGAGTCACAAGATTGACAAAACAGTTGAGTGTGGGGGCACCCGTGTCCTGTTGACACATTTCTAGGTAATCATGATAAGATGTAGTGTAAGACAAGGGGCATAATTTTGAAAGCAGTATTTGAGGAGTTATACCCAAAATTGCTTTGAAAATAGAATTATTTCAAAACTATGAATGGTATCCACGTGAAATTTGGAATATTTGTTGTTCAGTTGCAAGACAAGGGGCATTATCCTGACAACAATACTTTAGGACAGGTAGAACAGTTGCTACCAGCATGCTGAAGATAAACAAAAATATTTTTCATTGAAAATTAGGTGAATATTGTTATAATTTTATGTTGTTTTTTTTTTCAGAAATGAGAAGGAAGGTATTCCTGTAGAGTTGATTAGTTTACTGGATGTGTGTGTAGAGATACCTCAACAAGGTGTAATTAGGTCATTAAATGTACACGTCAGTGGTGCAATACTTATCTGGGAATACAGACGACAACAGCTGATGAAAACATGTAGCAGTTGATGATAACTATTTATTAGGAAATATTATTTTAAAGATATATTTTTTGAGGGTGATTTGCAAGGCCAGAGAAAGCATGTGATCACAGTGTTTAATGTAATGATAATTTGTAGGTTAAAGTATGTAATTATTTTTTGGACATACGTATTTCAATTTTAATGAATAAATCTAGTTTTTAAGTACTGTTTGTAAAACAAGCATAATTTATAAAGCAATAATTAACAATGTACTTTGGAGGCCCATGAAGCCTTAAAGATCCTGTAACTCAATTTTTTTTTGTTAATTAACAATGTACTTTGGAGGCCCATGAAGCCTTAAAGATCCTGTAACTCAATTTTTTGTTTGTTTTATATCATAAATATAATGCTCAAATGAAGATTTATAAATAGTGTAAGTTCCAAAAAGCATTATTTATAAAGATATTACCGAATTTAAATTTCACGTTAATAAAGGGAGGTTATTAGAAATTTATCTTCTATAAAGTCTAAGTCAAATTTTTCAATAAGAAATGAATGCATATATTTTAATGATTACATATAATGTGAACAAATATTGGCAGTGCATATTTTACATATTCTTCGATGTTTGAAAATTGTTTTAGAAGCATAATTATGTACATATATAAAATTTCACTGAAGTGTGGTAACAATCTTAATTACAACATACAGGATCTTTAAAAATGCTTTTCCTTAGAAACTTTTGTGTTTAGTGTCCTTTTACAATTTTTGAAGAAAAAGGTATTCATTTTCCATATACCGAAAGATGAACGATCTTCACCCTATATTGCTCCTTGGTAAATAGAACGGTTTTTCATAAGTTAGTATTAAAATATGAAAGTCAAAATACCACTTTGTTAGCTCACCAGAACCGAAGGTTTAAGGTGAGCTATTAGTATCAAAGGGTGATGCTCCAGCATCCGTAGTCCCTCGTCATGCATCAACAATCGTCTTCTTCTCTGAAACTTCTGGGCAGATTTACTTCAAATTTGGTCTGTAGCATCCTTTTGACAGTCACACTTGAATTTGCTCATGTCATTTCAAAAGGCCCCTTTTAGGGGTCTCTAGAGCTAAAAATGGAAATACAGTAAACTTCATTTATAGCGAACACGGTTATAGGGAACTTCCGGTTATAAGGAACAATTTATTTTTGCCCGAATTTTGCCCTTCTTTATTTAATATAAAAATGTACGGTTATAGCGAACACGGTTATAAGAATTATCGCTTATAAGGAACTAATTTTTTAGTCCCAATTTAGTTAAAAGTACAGAAAATTACACTTTATAACAAACTCCAAAATATCAGCTATCCGTAAATAGATCCCGCATTTTCATTGGCATGGATTTAAACTCAGGTGAATATACAGCTGTGAAAATGAATATGTAAAGTAGTACGTAATAAATTTTTATTAAGGATATTTTTAGCATGAGTTCTTGTCACCAAGATAAACCGGTTATTATTTTTATTCTATTATTTCTTTACTTTAATAGTTTGCTTGAGTAAAATAATTACGATCATTTATAATCGGTTCGCAACATAATCACGAGTGCTTGCTTATCCATTGAAAACTACAAAGTACGCTTTATTGAAATGAAAAAAAATCTTTATCTTTCATAAGTAAAAGTCACCGTTAAAATATAATAGAAGATATTCAATTTAAAAAGGTAGAAAAAATCGAAAATCTTGTTTGTTCTTAATTATGGAAATAAACGGAAAGTTTAGAAACAAAATATGATATTTTATGAGCAATTGAGAAAGGTAGTAAAACTAAAACTTAAATAGCAAAGGATTTTCAAAAAGTACACTTTCGGGTATTGTGTCTAAAAAGAAATAAATGACTAATTTTTCTTAATCAAATACTCTTCAAAATGGAGGATGATGGTAAACAATCAGTTTGTTATATGTAAATCTGTTCGCTATAAAAACTCCTGATACAAGGAACTAATTCACTATATGCTTACAAGGAACTCCGGATATAAGGAACAGATTTTGAATGTCCCAATGAGTTCGTTATAAGCAGATTTTACTGTACCTTTAGACATCTTCTTCTTCAGAACTAATTGATGGATGATCAACAAACTTTGTCTGTAGCATTCTTAGGTCACTAAAGTTGATCGGAAATCGTCTTTGCGGCCAGAAAAGGTGTGAAAAATCAAGTTTGCTCATACTAATTTTATTGGCCACTTTAAGGGGTCACTAAAGCTAAAAATAGAAAAACCTTTGAACATCATTTCCTTCTGAAATACACTGTATTTGATAGATGATCACCAAACTTCGTAGCATTCTTAGGTAGTCTTTTATCAAGTCTGCTCATATTAATTTGATTGGCCCCGTTTAAGCTAAAGCTTAAATGCCCCAGGTCATGGCATTTCTTCAAATTATTGTTTAAACATATTCTATGCTCAAATTTAATATCAGAAAATGTTGACAATGGTAATTTCCAACGCTGAAAAACAGTTGTTTCTGGTGAGCGTCTCGGGGTCATAATGGCCCTCTTGTTTATATTTTGCTTCTTTTGTGACTATATACTATATTTTACATTCAGCACTTCCAGTGATAAGCATCTAATATGCTTTTAATCGTTATTCAAACATTACTTAACACAATTTCACCTTTTATAAAGAAGAAAAAAAGTATTACTTTCTGAGTCCTAATGGGCGTTTAAGCTGCTTGTCAGAATCAAGAATTGGTGATTTAGGTTTAAAACATACATGACTTACATGCATATGGCAATTATGATTTTAGAAAAAAAAGACAATTTATACATAACTGATAATGCTACAGACCAATTAGTTTATAAGTATTAGATATGCTGTGATATGTTCATCATTACATGACATACAAGTTTTCTTGCATGTGTTAGAATATTGTACGTATAAAATTCTATTTTTTGTTAAAGTACCAAAAATAATGATAAATTGATCATCTTAGTTTAGTGTACATGTATTGAAATATACATGTGTATATACATTTTTAGAACAAAATATATAATTGAAGTGCATATATGTGTTTTATTTTTGCTTCTTGTCCTTTGCTACAAGTATAGAGGCAGGCCAGCGGGCAATTCCATGCAATACCTGTAAAATATTTCTTATTAATCTTTTCGTACCTACATATTTGACAGAAGATGTCAGCTTTATGGTAAGGAAGGATTCGATTTCCAGACAAATTTCGCGTGTGCGTGTGTGTGTGTGATCGACTATATGGTGAACTTAAAAAGTCTTCTTGTGGAAGTTCAAAGAATTTGATTCCATGTAGAATTCTGGTTGCCATGACAACCAAAAAGAATTATCACAATGAATTAAAAAAAAATCTTTCTAAAGATCCACAAGTCCTACAGCACAGATATTTTGCATTGTCGGGTAGACCTAGACCTCGTTCAAATTATAACACTGGTCAAAATTGCCCCCGCCCAGGATGGGTCATTGATTTTCACTATGTACATAAAGTAAAAATTAAAAAAAAAGTATTGTCTGAATGTACCAGGTTTATAGCTTTGATATTTTGTATATAATATCATCTAAAGGTCCTCTACCAAATTTGTTCAAACTTTGACCCTAGTGTCAAAATTGGCCCTGCCTCGGGGGTCATGGGTTTTTTGTTATATGTATATAGTAAAAACTTTAACATAAAACATTGCAAGATAGTACAAATTATAGTCCTGAGGTCAAAATTGAACCTGCCCGGGGGTCATTGATTTTTATTATGTACATATAGTAAAACAAATGTTTTCTGAATATGCGTGTATTTGACATTGTCTGGTGGACCTCTATCAAGGTTATTTGAATTAAACCCTTTGGTCAGAATTTTGATGTACATTCATGAAATTTAGGCCATGTTAAATATGACTATACTACCAAATTCACTAGACTCAACTGCATTATGACAAATTCAATTGTATAGAAACCAACAAAACGATCTTCTGTTCTTCTTTCACTACTATTTAGTGTTGTATTAATGCGGTGGCATAGCATTTTCCACAAATGCAATCTTTTTTATAAATTAACATATTTTTTTATTTTATATGTATAAACATATGAAGGCCTTATATATATTTATCTTGCATATATAAGGAAGTGTGGCTTTTCAGGTAGTGAATGAAAAGACACCATATTCTAAAGCCAAAAAAAAGTGAAATGATCAGAGATTGTGATGGTTTAGAGGGTTTGCTTTACAGCAATATAAGGCTCAAGAAAAAGCTACCGCAAGGAATATGATAGCAAGAGGACCGCATAAAATTGTCGCTTTTTTGACCGGCGATTAGTTGTCTTAAGTAAAAAAGACTAATATTTTTTATAAAAACATCCATATTCTACTGCCAACCATTTAAACACAATTTGTCTGATTCCCTTGCAGTCCATTTTATGGACCGTCGTTTTGTTCTTTGTCTAGAACTAGCTACCGCAAGGAATATAGTAGCAAGAGGCTCGCATAAAATTGTCGCTTTTTGAACACTAACAATTTCCGTAAAAACATCCATATTCTACAGCCAACCATTTAAACACAATTTGTCTGATTCCCTTGCAGATTCGTTTTTGTACAACCTTTGAGGGTCTTCTTTGCACAAAATGAGGACCAAAGCCCTAAACCAAATAATATGTCCGTGAGAATTCCGCATGGCGTGGTCATTTTATGGACCGTCGTTTTGTTCTTTGTCTATGTAAAGTGCATATTTTTTCTTAAAGTACACCATATTCTAGAGCAAATCGTTAAAACAATATTTGTCTGATTTCGATGAAGATTCGTTTATGTACATCTTTGGAGGGTCTTTTTTGCACAAAATGAGGACCAAAGACCTAACATAAACAATATGTCCGTGAGATTTTCGCATGGCATGGTCATTTTTTGGATCAGTGTTCAGTTCTTTCACTATAATATACAGTGAATGAATTTTCGTAAAAAATCATCATATTCTTAAGCCAACCGTTCAAACACCATTAGTCTGATTTCGTTCCAAATTCGTTTTTGTACAACTTTGGAGGGTCTTCTTTGTACAAAATGAGCACCAAAGCCCTAACCCAAACAATATGTCCAGGAGATTTCCGCGTGGCATGGCCATTTTTGTGAACGACGATTTGTTCATTGTCTATATAAAGTGTATAAAAACACCTTTTTCTAGAGCCAGCCGTTCAAACACCATTTGTCTGATTCTGTTGCAAATTTGTTTTCGTACAATCTTGGAGGGTCCTCAATGTACATTATGAGTACTAAAGTCATAACGCAAACAATATATCCAGGAGATTTCCGCGTGGAATGGCCATTTTCGTGAACGACGATTTGTTCATTGTCTATATAAAGTGTATAAAAACACCATTTTCTAGAGCCAGCCGTTAAAACACCATTTGTCTGATTCCGTTGCAAATTTGTTTTCGTACAACCTTGGAGGGTCCTCTATGCACAATATGAGTTCTAAAGCCCTAACCCAAACAATATGTCCAGGAGATTTCCGCGTGGCATGGCCGTTTTCGTGAACGACGATTTGTTCTTTGTCTATATAAAGTGTACAAAAAACACCATTGTCTAGAGCAAGCCGTTAAAACGCCATTTGTCTAATTCCGGTGCAAATTTGTTTTTGTACAACCTTGGAGGGTCCTGGAGATTTCCGCGTGTCATGGCCATTTTCGTGAACGACGATTTGTTCTTTTTCTACATAAAGTGTATAAAACACCATTTGCTAGAGCCAGCCGTTAAAGACCCTGTAACATAATTTTTCATGGTTTTATTTAATAAATATGATGATCAAATTAAGATTTGTCAATATTGTAAGTTCCAATTAGCATTATTTATAAAGATTTTTACCCAATTTAACATTTCATGTAAATAAAGTGAGGTAATCAGAAATTTATTTTCTATAAATTCTAAGTCCAATTTTTCACTAGAAATGAATGCATGTAATTTATTGATTAAATATAATGTGCAACAATATTTGCAGTACACAATTTACATATTCTTCGATGTTTGAAAATTGTTTTATTTGCATAATTATACATATGAGCCGCGTCACGACAAAACCAACATAATGGGTTTGCGACCAGCATGGATTCAGACCAGCCTGCGCGTCCGCGCAGTCTGATCAGGATCCAGGCTGTTCGCTACCAGTTTCTCTACTTGTAAAAGAGTTGGAAAGCGAACAGCATGGATCCTGATCAGACTGTGCGGACGCGCAGGCTGGTCTGGATCCATGTTGGTCGCAAACCCATTATGTTGGTTTTGTCGTGACGCGGCTCATATATATTTTTTTGCAAGTGTGGTATACACACAGTAACAATATCAATCACAAAACATACAGGATCTTTAAAACACCATTAGTCTGATTCCGTTGCAAATTCGTTGTTGTACATCCTTAGAGAGGTCCTCTGCACAATATGAATACTCCAGGAGATCTCCGCGTGGCATGGCCATTTTTGGACAGGCGATCTGTTGTTATCGATATAACCATAAATTAAGTGAAAAATTGCCAAGACAACACCTTCCTGAAATTATGTTTTACATTATTTTGATCGAGAATTTTATTTAGTGGTTTGTGAAAAATCGCGCTATACAACAGGTTTTTACAGGAATTGACGTCATGCACAATTAGTCATTGTAAATTGAATGCTAAGTACTTGACAAACAAAACGGTGGAATGATCAAGAGATTGTGATGGTTTAGAGGATATTCGACACAGCAATATAAGGACCACTGCAAGGAAAATGATAGCAAAAGGCTCGCATAAAATTGTCACTTTTTGGACTGGCGGTAAGTGGTCTAAATAAAAAAAGACATTATTATACATTATTGTTACTCGTTATTGACAGTAGAGAGCAGTAATGACCACTCAATACCTGCCCCTTAATTTGTTTTAGTAAATTTTCTACTCAAAGTGGGCAATCGTTTTGTCAAATATAAATAAATTATGTTTTTCATATCCAATCAAGTATATTTGATTGAATGTACGGGGCGACTTTTAACAGCCTTCACACGGCACAAACAACGCTGATGTGGCGATAAAATAGAGGAAATAAGAATCTCTAAATAAAGCCCAAAACGACAAAATTGAAAATGTTTCAGGCTCGGTTTGATTGAGCCTGTTCATGGACGGTACTGGATTGTGCAAGTAGTTACCGCCCTAGACCCCTAGCACCGACTTAAGCAGAATTCAACATTTAAACATGAAATGGTATTTTTTTGAATTTAGAAACTTTACAAAATTGGTATTAAGTGTCATCTACTGATCAGGGGCAATGTCCATACAAGCTATACGTATAAACCATGGCGTATTCCTTCTCAAGTTATTCATCAGACAAGGATTTTACATGGAGTGTCATGGTTACCTCGGCCTTTGACCTTTTGATCTCGAACATCAATATAGGTTATCTACAGGCCATGGGCAATGTCCCTACCAAATAAAATAAACTATGGTTTATTCCTTCCCAAGTTATTCATCAGACAAGGATTGTACATGAAGTGTCATGGTTACCTCGGCCTTTGACCTTTTGACCTCGAACATCAATATAGGTTATCTACAGGCCATGGGCAATGTCCCTACCAAATAAAATAAACCATGGCTTATCCCTTCTAAAGTTATTCATCAGACAAGGATTTTATATGGAGTGTCATGATTACCTAGACATTTGACCTTATGACCTCAAACATCAATATAGATTATCTACGGGCCATGGGCAATGTCACTACCAAATAAAATAAACCATGGCTTCTTTTTTTACTAAGTGATTCATCAGACAAAGATTTTACATGAAGTTGTATGGTTACCTTGACCTTTGACCTTATTTCGTTAAACATCAAGAAAGGTCATCTACCGGCCATGGGCAATATCCATACCAAATAAAATAAACCAGGTTTAATTCCTTATGTAGTTATCGTATAGACAAGGTTAACAAGCCGTTGATACTTACATACTGATCAACTCTATCACAGGATGGTCCCCACGAAAGTCCATAACTTAGTCAAAATAAATGTCTCATTTATGGGCGTTGGACAGTTATACTATTCTAAAGACATGTATCAAGTTTAAAGTGAATACCTTCAGTAGTTTCAAAGATTAATGTTGCATGTGAAACTTAATTCAGGAAATTTTTAAGTTAAAAAAATCATATATATAGTGTAATCTGATTGGTTAATTATCTCGTTCGCCCCACATAGTAACTCGTGCCCACGACTTATTTATCTCGTGGGCACGACTAAATAACTTGTGCGCACGACACAATTTCTCGTGCGCACCACTTAATTATCGTGGCTTGTGGCTATGACATAGTATCTCATGCGCACCACTTAATTAACTCGTGCGCACTAACTCGCGGCCACGACCTAGTATCACGTGCGCACCACATAATTATCTCGTGCACACGACCAAGTAACTTGTGGCCACGACATAGTATCTCGTGCACACGACTAAGTGACTCGTGACCACGACATAGTATCTCGTGGGCATCAATTAATTATCTTGGGCGGACGACTTAGTAACTCATGCGCACGACAGTATCTCGTGCGCACGAGATAGATGAAAACAGCAAACACGTGCCACCTTATTTTAAAAGTGTGGCATTTCAGCAAAGTATTTGTTTTTGTCAAAATCCTATGGATTGATAGCAAAACTAATTAATGATCAGTAATGATACAACAAAAATCAAAAACGATAAGACTGTAGTAATATCAACTCGTCAATTTGTGTTAGTAAATTTTCTACTCAAAATGGGCCGTTGTTTCTTCAAATATAAATAAGTTTTTCATATATAGTCAAGTACATGTATTCCCAAGTGTGTGAGGCTAGGAATATTGCACCCTATCTTCGACTTGTACACTATTTATCCTAAAGAATATAACAAGAAAGTCCAAAATACAGATAAATACAACACTGGAATAAAGTTTTAAAAGTACCATTTTATTTTGGGTGTTTTTTTTCCGCAAATTACCAATCATAATTAAAAAAAAATGAAATGAAACAAAAAAATCAATTTAAAAAATCTACAAACAGTCCATGAAAATCAAATCGAGCTACAAAATAATTCTCCTCCTGTTCCATTATCAGCTGTATTGCGTCGTCCGTTTCTTTTCCTAGTCGTTTCATAAACTCCCAAAAATCAGGCTCCTCTTCCTGAAAAGATAGCAAATATAAACATCACTATTTTTGTTATCCCTTTGAAAAGGCTGTTCAAAATATTTTGTCTTGCATTTTTAGAATAATGAGAATTGTGATTGTGTGTATTTTTGTTGTTTTATCCGCGCTTTTAACGTTCTCTTTATCATTTTGAAATATGTGTGACACCTACAAGATGCATTTTATAATTTGTTAAGATGCTTATTAATTGCACAAAAACAATCATTATGTTCTATTATATTGAACGGTTAATGTCAAAATATAAAAGAGCATATATTAAAAGTATAAGTCATGTTCCAGACATCAGGAAAAATAAATGAAAAACATTAATTTTGAGTATTTTTAATGCTATTTTACTTCAAATACGTGTTTTATTCTATCTTAGTTTACCTCTTCGTACACACATCCTTTAGTGTTCATATCCCCCGGTACTGTTGTTCAATTCATTCCATAGAGCATCCCTTTGATCAATCTTCTCCGTTTCTCTTTGTGCGGATTCATGTTCTCTTTCTGTCGCCATTTTTGCTTCTTTTTGCTCAGCTTCAAAATCTAAATGGATCTGCTGCACTAATCGATGCCATACAGTCGGTCTATTGTTTTGAGGAAAGTTGTTGCGATGAGGGGATTTCGGGTAAGAAGTACTCGTAGTAAATGTTGGCATCGCCGGTACTATGTACCTCCGTAATTATATAATTTCTGCAAATTTTATATACAAAATGTACGATTTACGGCATTGATGTTTATAAACATTTATTTTTTTTTGTTTAAAATTAATCTATCAAAACTTATATAGCACGCTATATAAACTGTCTTCAAATAACATTTTTGTGGCAACAGAAGGTCTGTCCCACCAAATTGTAAACGAAATTTCAGAAGTTCGTTAATTCTAAAAACAGAGGCTCTATAACTATAAGTATTAGACAAAATTAACTATTCATCACAAAACAACATTACTTTAAAATCATTATAAAGAATATCTACAGTACATGTGATTGTTATTGCACAACTGTTCATGAATAAATGAATTGAAATGTTCGTTATAGAAATGTTCGATACAGCAATTAAGGAACTACTAATTAGAGAAGGTTGCGCAGTATTTTCTTCTCTCCATGGCTATGACGTCACATTTGCGAATGACATCACAACATATATGGCCGCAATTCAAGGTTATCGATCGCGTGTTTTCAACAGTTTGGTAGATTAAATCGTGGTAAGTAGTGTATTCTTTCAAAGAAAGCATTAAATTGCATTTATGTTACTAATTTTCAAAAGCTTTCGATTTTGGTTTAAAATGATAATGTGCTACTTGTGTAATTTTAGTATTTTTCTGTTAGGCGGGTCTGAACGTTATAACAGCCACATAAATGTTGTGACATGTTCGTTACTTTTAGTAACGAACATTTTAATTGAATTGACAGAATATTTTGTCTAAATATTAAATGGATATTTCTTGTCCTTTGTGCTACTTGAAATATCTTTCTATCTTGATCTTAAATCTAAAAAAAAGAATCTTTAAATTAATTACCTTAAAATAACTACAAATCAGAAACTTTATATTTGGCTTTCAAACTTCGACCGACCTGTTTATATATTTCGACTTAATAAATGTGTTTTATTACATTTATCTTAAGAATTGTCTTAGAAAATATAAAAAAATTCTTAAATATTCATATTTTTTTTAGAATTGTAGATCTATATTTAAACGTGCAAGTAACATATTTTCATGACATTTTAAGTTTGGTAACGAACATGTCAGAAATCATAACGAACATTTTAGTAACTTAAAATCGAAATTTGTATTTCAGATATGGCGAAATCAAGAGCCGAAATCCAAAGGGCTTACAGACAAAGACTAAAAGAAAGAGACAATGAAAATTACTTATCAAGAGAGGGAAAGAAGACGAAAATCGTACGTAGAAAGTAAATACTTGTCAGAAGAGAAGCGAAAGGAACGGAACAAGAAAAACAGAGAATATTTAAGATTATACAGACAAAAAAGAAGAAAAGCAGCCCTACAGAATGTTGAGAATAATAGAGAAAATGCAGATACAAGTACCATGGATTTTAGTGGTTTGTGGTGCGGGGTTTATAGGTGGTACTGGAGGGGGGGAGGTATGGTTTCCGTATCCATAATATTTTTTAACAAATAAATAAAACATTTCTGTGCCGTATTTAATTTCTCCGTAGTATAATAACATTCAGTTAACTTGAAATAGTCACTCATCTTAATTCGGTAATTATTCATTATCTATATTCATTTTTGGTATTTATTTAAAAACCTTTTGGCATCATATGTAAACACAAAACTCAGTAAGTCCATTTTTCTATTTTTAATATAGTTTCCTTTTATTTTCATATTTACATCAACAGTTCTGACCGGTCAAAATAACAAATATATATGTACATGTCCATTAAAATGCACCGCAGAAAACTGCGGACTTAAACCGTCACATGTTAAGTGTCTGACTGCCTGAATCCCTCCTATCTTAAAAAGTTCTTCTCATTTTAATTAATACAAAATAATTGTAACAAAGGTTTTAATAATTAACCAATGAAAAAATGACCCTTAAACAGGAATATATTAACCAATGAAAATACATTTTATCAAATATGAAATTAAATATTTGACCAATAAAAATGATTCGATTAAGACTGATTAACACGCTAGATGTCAAAAGTCAGCGGCCTGTTAATTCCTTTCTTTAAGTTAAACAGATAATCAGATAAGAAAACTTCAAATAAATGTCGTAGATAAAATTAATGATAATAATCATGTTGTCATACATGTGACGTAAATAAACATAAATGTGTCAGACATGTAAATTGCAATAAATATGTCAGGGGTCTGGCTAATTGATAGTTTACATATTTCTGAATTTCAATAATTTCAAAACCTTTTATAACATAAACAAGAAATATAATAATTTTACGAAAAGTATTTTGAAAGAATCAAATGAAAAAATACAGCATAACATCACCTCCTCCTCTATTTTACTTTATTCCATAAATGGGGAAGTTGAATTCGTAGTTTTGCTTGCTAAATTGAGAGGTTGGGAAAGACACTGATTCCCACCAAGTATTATGCGCTAAATTTATAGGTCTACTGAAGGTGGATTGAATCTCAACACAATGTTCCGTTTTATATATTTTAATGTTAATCTTTCTTAGTGGAATACCACAAATAATATATAACATATACACAGGTTATCCTTATGTTAACAAATAGATATTAAAAAACAGTAACAAATATTTCTAGTGGAGAGCCACAACGTTATCACTTGGAAATCCAAAATCTAACTATCTAAATTTTTTTACATGTATCTTTACAACATTTCTAAATAGGAATTCGTTTTAAACTGACCAACAGAATTTTATCATTTTTGTGTCTTAAATAACAAAATGACCAATCAGGTTTCACTACAAAATATGGTAACATAGCAACATAGAATTTATAACAACAATCATCACCTGGACATTTTATCAGTCATAAGGTTTAACAACTTATTAGGTACAGACGACTAAATTGACATCATCACCTAAATATAATAAAACTTTTAGCACTGTTGATTGGACAAAGAGGAAAAGCCATATTTAATCTTCTGGTTACATAAATATTAATTTGACATCTGTTATTAAAACATATAATATTTGTAACTTAACATATTTGAAATTTCACACATTGTTCTGAAAATTTGACCTTTTAGAAAATGATTATATTTATAAATATTTTTGTTTAAAAGAAAATCATCATGCATATTTATTCATTTATTTTTTTTAAAAATTTTTATCATTTTTCTGCTGCACAACACTAACAAAAATATTTATAAATATAAATATTTTTGTTTAAAAAAAAATCATCATGCATATTTATTCATTTATTTTTTTTAAAGAATTTTATCATTTTTCTGCTGCACAACAGGTTACGAAAGTGCACAGCTTGAAGGCAGAAATAGGTTACAAATAAGAATGAATTTTCGAACAAATGGTCCAAGAATGAGAGTCACTAAAGAACTGGCAAAAACTAAGAAAGAGTTTAAAGTTTTAAAGGAAAACTATGATAACCTTAAAAGAAAATACAAGAGTACTATGCGTTCAATTCAAAGAATGAACAAGAAAGAAAATGAACATTGTAATACACCAAGATCAAAGGCTGCAAAATTACTAAAAGATGTTAACCTTACACAAGAACAAAGAAAACGTGTGCATAAAGAGTTGGTTTTTGCAAATGCTGTTTGCGATGAGATCAAAGTTGCAGCACATAAAGCACCTGTGAAAGCTAAAAGGATATTACAAAATTTAGTAGCGGGAAATTTATTGAAGAAATACAAGTTGCTTAAAAGATTTGGAGAAAAAACAAATACGAGCAGGAATAAATTGTCAAAAGTTAAATGCAAGAGTGTTAGTATTGAAAATTTGAACCGCCGACGGGAAATTGCAAAGTCTAGAGAAAAGGTGATAGAGTTCCTCGAGCGAGACGAAAACTCACGAGCTATGCCTGGCAAATGTGATTACGTTAGATCAGAAAACGGAGAGAAGTATCAAACAAGAGTATTAACTGACTATCTCTCAACTCTTTACCATAAATTCATGTCAGAAAATCCTAGTATCAAGTTGTCTTTCACCTCTTTCACGAGGATAAGACCGGCGAGAATAAGACTTACACACATGATCACAAGAGACACATGTCTTTGTACCAAGCACCAAAACATGTCGCTGACACTTAAAGCTCTCAAGAAGAAAAACATTGAGTGTACACTTAATGGAGAGAAAATGCTTGAAAGAAAATAAGACCTGCTTCAAGAAACTGAAAAAAAGTTGGCTTCAGGTGATGAAATACATGTTGGTCAATGGAAACGCGTTGAAATTGAAGTTAAAGGCCAAAAGAAGTCAGTTATGAAAATAGTTGACAGTATCATGAAACCACAAGACTTTTTAACTCATCTTAGATCACAAATTGAAGAGTTTGACCAACACGTTATGAGAATCAAGACACAATATTCAGAAATGAAAAACCTGAAAGAAAATTTGCCCGTCAATCATTGTATAATTCACATGGATTTCAGTGAAAATTACTCATGCAAATCTGTCCAGGAAATACAGTCAGCCTATTGGAATCAAACCGCCGTAACTCTACACCCAGTCGTTATATATTTTAAGACGGAGGCATCCAAGGAAATTCTACATCAAAGCTTTGTCTTTGTTTCAGATGAAATGGGCCATAACGCAAACACAGTTCTTACAATTATTGACAAACTTATTCCAGCTGTAAAACTACTTATTCCTGAAGTAACATGTATACATTATTGGACAGATAGTCCTACTTCCCAGTACAGAAACAAGCTAATCTTCCGTTGCATAGCGAATCACAACAGTACCTACGGCATACATGCTAAATGGAACTACTGGGAAGCAGGACATGGAAAAGGGCCATGCGATGGCCTTGGTGGCCGAGTAAAGCGTTTAGCAGACGAGGCAGTAAATACTGGGAAAGTTTGTATACAGGATCCGTCAGATTTCTATGCGTGGTCTCAATCTGTCAATTGGACTATGAAGAATGTGAAATTTGTATTTGTTTCTACAGAAGAGTGTGAAAACAAAGCTAAAGAGAACATTCAACTCTATCTAAAACCTATTGTTGGAACAATGAAATAGCATGAGGTCCTGGGTAAAGAAGATAGTTGCGTGGCTGTTTGTTAAACTAGTTGTTACTGTACAACATGTTTGTCACATGAATCCGCTACTTGCAGTACTTGGAGAAATGAAACACTCGTCTCAAAAGTAACAGCACAAAGCAGTAATGAGGATGAATCATCTGCAAATAAACCAGGTGTGCAATCTATTACAACAGAGAAAGCTGAAAAGTATGATGTAGATGATTATATAGCTGCGTTATATTTGGGTCGCTGGTACATTGGTAAGATAATCACTGTTGACGAAGAAGACAGCACATTTGAAGTAACATTCCTGCAACAAAAGAAACGGATGTTTCAGTGGCCATCCAGACCTGATGTGATCTGGGTTGACTATAGTGATATTCTATGCAAAGTATCAACACCAGTAACTAGTGGAAAGTCAAAGCGCATGCTTCTCATAACAGATGCTGACATAGACAAAGTTGAAATACTATTTGTGAAAAAATAACTGGTTAAATGTAACATGACATATAGTATGACATGTTCGTTACTTTAAGTGCTTGAACCATCGACTAGATCGTCATTGAGAATTGCATAATGTTACATTTTTTATTTTATTATCTGACTATGCAAACCGTCTCAAAATTATATTGTTAAAAGCATTTGAGTAGATTCTTGTTTGAAAACATACAGGTATTTAGTTTGTAACGAACATTTCTAAAATAAACTTTAATAATATATTGACGGTAAAAAAGTACCTTCGTTCTTATTTTTACAATAATTTATTATTTGTATCTGTTGAGTTCAAAGAGTTAACTTGTATGTTTATGAATAATAAGCAAAACGAATGTAATCAGTTAAAGTTTATTGTTTAATTTTGCAAAATATTGCCTTCAGGGGCCTTTTCACTAGTTTTGGGGGAAGGCGCCCTAGCCCTTTTTGTGGGGAAAAAAATGCGCGATTTTCACACTTTTGGGGAAAATATCATACTTTCACACATTTCGGGGAATATCATAATTTATTTGCATATCTTCCTCCAATCACATTTAAGGTTTACTATAGTACTAAGCTTTCTGTCCAACAGGAGTAAAAAACATGTTTTACAGATCAATTTATTGCCCCTTTATATTAACTCATATTTCCTATTTATAGTATTTTATGTTGGTTCATGTGAGGGTTCTTGGTTTGATTCAGAGGGTACATTATTATCAGTTTACAACTGTAATTTACTGCACTGAAAAGTTTCTTTACAAGTTTTATTCTTCAGTTAAAGGGGAAATATTTGCCAGAAGGGGAATTTTAGACTGTTTTTTGGGGAAAAAAGGTAGTAATTTGGCTTAGGGGAGATACAGGCTACAGCAAAGAAGGGTAAAAAGGCCCTGGCCTTTATTGTTGTTTGTTAGTTAAAATGTTCAAGATTTTTTTAAACAGAGATGGGTTTGTAAATACAAACGTTAAATTGACTTTAGATATCGCAGAAATATTATTTTGACAAAGTTTTATATGTTTATTAAGTGTTATTAAAGGTTTGTGGTTTTGGAAATGTAACTTATAATTTTGTAACGAATCTTTACAAAACTTGTAAAAGTTGCCAAATCTTATGTATAACGGAAATTCTTGTATAAGGTTAACCTTATTGTTTCTTTGGGGTGGTTTTGAAATGGGAACAAAAACAAGTTTTTATTTAGCAAGTTTCCCTAATAAAGCGAAAATACTAAATTTGTTTTTTATTAGCAACTTGAAAAACCGTGGTTTTTCGGGTTTAAGGTTTTTTTTTCCATTCCCTCTTATTAGGAAGGCCTATAACCTTTTTTAACTTAAACTAACAGGTAAAATTTTTCAAACACAGGAAAGAAAAATGGGGTTATTTGTTTTGAACGTAACGTACATTACAGACTACATTTTTGAAACTTCAACACTCATAATACATTTGTTTATAAAATCGTTATCTTTATAGAAATGTTCAAAATATTTCACAGTTTTTCAGATGAATGTTACTAGTTAAATTTTCGATAGTTAATAAACTCATAGAAAACATTTAGTATTAAGTTCCTTTTATTTCTTAAATGCATTCATTTATTGAAAATGAGTGAACAGCGTCTGAATGTTCAAAGCCATCCGGAAGAGACAAAATCTTCAATTTTAGAATGAAGGTGAGTATAGATCTGAGAAAAAAAGAGAAAATGCCGCTGACTGTCTGCTGTATTAAAAAAGTAAAAAAGTCTAAATCGGGAAACATTAAACCAGAATCAGTTTCTATTTTATAGAGAAGATAAAGAATACTGTTTCCTAAACTCAATTATCACTGATAGTGATTCTGTTTGACAGAGTCGATTGTTATACATTGTTAAATGATACATGGGTTTTCCGAATCATGTAATAGAGAGAAAGCTTGAATTGAAATAAAATGGTTCGTAAAAGCATCAGCAACTTTTATATAAAAAAGGATATTTGTTTTACATTTATCTTCACTGCAAAATACTAAGTTAGACCTATGTTTATCAATTGTTCATATGTTACTCTGTTGATGGTCATTGTATAAATATTTTATGGAAAGGCAAATTTAAAACTTTTATTATGAAAAGATCAATTCAATGAATTCCGTGATAAAAATAAGACCCTATACATGTGATTTAATGACAAATCTTGACACAATTACAGTCCATAACGTTCATATTTGTTGCAAACGGTATTGACATCGTGACGATGTTTCAATTTGTTATGTTTTTGACATGCTTAAAGATGCATCAGCTTCAAGTTATTGCCCTGGCCAATCAGCAACTAAATGAGACTGGTGGGTAGGTATTAAAGGGCTCAAAATAATGGCATATTTCATCAAAAGTACGCAAATGATACTCTATCAAAAAGGCAACTGAGCATCTGGACTGGTTATCTTCTCAATCAGCAAGAACATATTAAGTAAAATGTTATTGATCAAGGGTTCGTGCGTATCACTCGCTCTGCCTTCCTTAAATAATGGACGGTTCCGATTATTTCGGCCGATTGCGCAATCCCTAGTGATTGTCGCTATGCCTCACACAAGCCAGCATCCAAAATGGTGACCGTATCAACATCAACCGACGCGCTAGAAGATGTGTCGATTTGTTTTCTTCCTTATCAAGTACAGGATTATTAAAAGAGGATTAAACTACTATCTCCAAGGCTATGTTCATCAAATTAGAGTCCATATAGACGATAAACCTAAGATAAAGGTTGTTTCTCGGTGTCGGAGGTCGATGAGAAAAAGCGAGAAGCCGCACACTCTACACAATGAAATACTCAAAGATAATGCATTGTGTATAACGGAGTCAAATTGCTTTTGTAAGTTTGGGTAAGTATTGAAGTAGGAACATTGTCAACAACTTAAGTAGACTTAGAATCTAAAAAAAATGAAATACACACCCTTAAAATGTCTACTGGTATAGACTATACATCATTATGTAGATATATTTAACTTTACGTGTTTAAACTATAATATGTAAATAGCATTATGCTCTATGACGCACCCTAATTGTTCAAATATTTTTCCGTTCATTACTGTCGTATCCGTAATTTGCTGATCTTTTAATATATCTTTGTACAACACCACATTGTGACAATTAGCCTGGGTTCGAGTCTGTCGATCTTTATGTGCTTCTGTTCGGCAAATCGACACTATCAAAACCCGAGATGTTTGTTATCCATGACGATCGAGTATGAAATAGCGCATATGTTATGAATAAGCATAAAATATCAACGCCTGAATCCCAGGCTATGTGACAATATTTGACCAGAGAAATATATTTACGTCTATGGGATACGTGTGTGATCATGGACCAGTGATACAAACAACAATCCACGAAACAATCCACGATAGGGTAAGTTTTATTGTTTAAATCAAAATAATTGTGAAATTGTGATAGAGCTAGAATAATAAAAAATATAAATAATCTTCCTTTTTATTTTTTCTCTTTAAAATATGCGTAGATTCTCTATTATAAAAAAATAAAATAATCTTCCTTTTTTTTCTCTCTAAAATATGCGTAGATTCTCTATTAGTGCATTGTTTTTTATATTTAGAAATATATTTTCTATAAAAAAAACAAGAATTTGTAACAGAGTTACCAACGTCCCCCGCCTCGGGGAAGTTTTATATGAAGCATAAAATTGTGCAACATTTAATCGTATTTCAAAAGATTGAGGTATGGATTTTAGGACTTTCAGTCCAAAATTATGATCTATGTTAGATCTGCCAATGCAACAATAAATTTATGAAAGAAATACTAGTAAAATGAAACACAGAATTTAAAATTCTATCATGTTAACCTTTGACCTCTAAGTGTGACCTTGACATTGGAGGTAGGGGTGCAGGTGTTGTGCATTACATATTGTCTTATTGATATTACTATTTGTGCCAAGTATTTTCAAAATCCCTTGAACTATGTAGAAGTTATAGACGGGACACAAAATAAACCATATAACAGACTCAGTGTTAACCTTTGACCTCTAAGTGTGACCTTGACCTTGCCGGTAGGGGTGCAGGTGTTGTACCTGACATATTGTCAACAATATTATAACAAACATTTGTGTTAAGTTATTTCAAATTCCTTTGATAAATGACAAAGTTACGGACCAGACACAAAGTGTGACGGACGGACAGACGGACGGACAGACGGACGGAGCCTTTTTCTATATCCCCCTTTTTCTTCGAAAAGGCGGGGGACAAAAACATACTTTGAAGCATTGCAGTTGAATTCGTTTTCCAAGTAAACAACACTTAAAATACCGAATCCCTCTAAAACCTTGAAAAAATCGGCGGTCTTAGTTTACTTTCCTACAAAACAAAAAAAACAACAAAAAAACAATTTCGGTCAGAAATATTTAGATATGTGCTTTACCGATATTCAATAACATGTATTTTATCTCCATAATGTTATTATGATGAAAAATCACTCATATGTTTCAATATTAATTAAGTTATTATGGCTCATTAAATGAAATCCCAATATAGTTTGGCGGGACGGACTTTATAGAAAAAATCTAGTCTATAAAGATATGTGCATATTTTATTAAAACCTATGTACTGTTCGATAATTATTCTATATTTAGGAAATAGGTATCAGTTGCGTACATTGTTGTAGAATAATGCACGGTTCGAGTTCAAATGCGCATGAATGTAATCACGAAGGCCGGTAAGCATATGTGTTTTAATTACAAAGCTTAAATTGAACGATAAATCGTGCATTGTCCCAAATATCTATTTCCATTCTAACATGATAATAAAAAAGAAAATTGATAAAAACATGTTGGAACTAGATCTACAGGAATATTAAAACGTAGAAGTAATTTTCCTAACAATTTTATTCATTAAATAATATTGATGTGTCCCAGGTATCAGGCATAAATCATTAATTTAACTGTGAACTGTGTAACAATTATTTATTAAGAAAACTTACCTACATGAACATTACTTTATCAGTGGGTTGTGAAACTAGTACTAGTTGTTGTCTTAACAAGGCATAAAATGAAAAATAAACTGTGCATTGACTTTTAAACAACACACTTTAGCTCATTTAAACAGAAGTCCTTATCCGTGACACTTTAGCAGTAACTGTTTGTAAACAATCCTTTTAATCTTGACTTTAAGCTGTCATAATTCCTTAAATGTTTGTATTTTTATGTAAAGTCTGGTTTTCTCAGTTGAAGAATGTAATTCTTTAACAAACTGCCAAGTAACTTTGTTAAAATCCACATATTTCACTGTATTTTCCTTGAAATGTAATTTTCGTGTGTTGGAAATTTACTGTACGCTGCCATTTTGTACTTTGCATTATTGGCTATTTATAGCTGTTGCATCGGTTAGTTTCTGTAAACACTAAGTAGGCAGCAGATGTTCCGTTTTGGTACACAAGAAATTACTGTTAATTTACATCACAAAAGGTAGAGAATTTTTGGAAATAGTCAATATTGTATTTGCTTATAGCTCTATTATTGTAAAATTTTCCTCCATTAAAGTTAAGTTCAGTCCGATCAGTTTATGATCGTTTCCGATCATTTTTGTCTGACAGCCGTCAACCGTTTTTGGTTCTACCATTCCAACCACTTTCGGGCAGTGGTTGAGCGTTTTCATATAAATACGGCGAAATCAGCCGCTTGTCTTTCTTAGAAGCAGCATCCTTTAACGCTGTCTTAGAAAATTCGAAACAATATAAATTTTGGCGGCCATTGAACTTATTGTATAAATTCGTCTGCGGTCTAGCGCCATTAATTTTAGTAAGAAAGATTCTTTACAGAAAGGCGATTTATTTACAAGATACTCATTTTATAAGAATTTACATCATAATTTGTTACTGTCTCGCAATATATAATTAATATTTATTGACTTTGAACATTATTTTCTGCAGTTATTGAGAAATAATATAAGCGGCTACGGTTCACTGACTTGCATATATTTTTATGGAACGCCGTTAACGTCTAAAGTTAACACGCGATAATATCAGCGAAATTTTGATTTAAATGCATCCTGTGCTGTACTATAGTAAATTATTCATAAGTATCATAAGTTAACAAATACATATGTTGTAATAACATCTAAATAACTGAATTGTGTTTGTATTTAATTACAAATGAACATTGCTCATCATTTTACTTTGAATAATTGTGACAGTTGCTGTTATAAGAACTTATATATTATATTGTGTGTTGACATTTATTTATACAAAAAATAAATATGTTGAAGTGTTACATCTGATTTGTGCTACATTTTTAATATACATAAATGGTTCAACTGCTAGAAGAGGACTCATCCTCAAAGTCTCTGCCTGATTAACTCGAACCATTAGTGCAGTTACTCCCTATCAGATTGTAAAAGATAGCGCTACCAAAAATAGATCAACAAACAAACTCCTGCTAAAGCCCTGTATTGCCGGTACGCGACAATATTGGTCGGAAAAAGACACATAATTATGAATGATAAGTGCAGCTTTTTCCGAACAACCCTCACATGATTTATGGCGCTAAAAGTTGTGTTGTGCAATCGAAAAATGATAAAATTCATTTACAAAAAAAAAAAAAAAAAAAAAATAAATGAATAAATATGCATGATGATTTTCTTTTAAACACAAATATTTATAGATATAATAATTTTTCTAAAAGGTAATATTTTCAAGACAAAATTTGTGAAATTTCAAATATGTTAAGTTACAAAATATTATATGTTTCAATAACAGATTTCAAATTTTTTAAAATTATGTAACTGGAAGATTAAAATGCGGCTTTTCCTTCTTTTCAATCAAATGTGCTAAAAATTTTATAATATATTGGTGATAAGGTCAATTTACGCTGTCTGGTACTTATCATTTGTTTTAAACCTTATGACTGATAAAAATATCCAGGTGATGATTGTGTTATAAATTCTATGTTGCTATGTTACATTATTCTGTATTGAAACCTGATTGGTCATTTTGTTATTTAAGACACACAAATGTTTAAATTCTATTGGTCAGCTAAAACGAAATCAATTTTTAGAATTATTGTAAAGATACATGTAGAAAATTCAGGGACAGTTAGATTTTGGATTTCCAAGTGATAACATTGTGGCTTTCCACTAGAAATATTTTGTTAACTGTTTTTTCAATATCTATTTGTTTAACATAAGGATAACCTGTGAATAAAAAATTATGTTATATATTATTTGTGGTATTCCACTAAGAAAGATTAACATTAAAATATAAAACGGAACATTGTTGTTGAGATTCAATCCACCTTCAGTAGAACCTATAAGTTAGCGCATAACACGTGGCGGAAATCAGTGTCTTTCCCAACCTCTTCATTTAGCAAGCGAGACTACGAATTCAAATTCCCCAAGAAGAACAAACAATGAAATTTCACAAATGGAAATTACCGTTCAGAAGTGAAAAAATCATGTGGACAATGTGGGACTTTATCATAAAACAGACTGGAGAAGTGTTGTGCAAAAATGGCAAGATGCAACAAAATGTAATAGAATTGGACATTTTGCACGAGTTTGTCTACGTCCAGCAGTTAGGCAAAAGTCAAACGAATTCAAAACTACGCGATCAGGAACGCATGACAACTTTCATCAGACGCAAGACAGCCGAAAATACATTACCATTTTACAATGAAGATGATGCCTACTTTAAGAAAAACCAAAACAAACAATTCTGTAAGTAATGTTTCAACAGCAGAATTCAGAAGTTAAAATCTTTTGACCGATTCAATGACTAAAACTATTAACGGTTTAAAAGCAGAAAATATGGCCCTTGTTTTTAAAAAAATCAAAGACTTAAGGATTTTAATGAAAAACTACAGGATGAAGGGTTTCCCCTAAAGAAATTAGAAATAAGTCAACTTAGAAAAACATTTTTACAAGAAAAACAACTCGCTAAAGGAAAACAATTCGGGCTGACTCTTCAAAACTAGAGATAATGGAACAAACTTATATTAGAATTTAAGAAACTAAATGACGACTATGAACAACTGAGATTGAAGCACAACCAGAAAGCCTATGAAAATTATGATGATGGAATCAAAAAAAGAACGAATCAAATAGATGACTTGAAAGATGAAAAACCACACCTTGAAAGATGAAATTGCCCAGTTTGAAAGACAAAAAAAATATCTATGTCGAAAAAGAGGGAACAGAAATCAAGATCTTTCAAATACATGCGAAACCGGGTTCCACATGAATGGAGAGGTCAATATCATCATGGAAGACAACAAGGACAGAGGGGGCACTACAACAGAAATAGACATCATTAAAAACTGTGTTGTTTACAATAAGACAGTGATTAGGATATATATTATTAGTGAATGGTACTTACGCTTTTCAGCAAAATCGGTGCTTTATATTCAAGTATATTTCTTAACTGAATATCTTATGTAAACAGTATTCTAATTTAATGATATTTATTTTTGTTATATTGTAATTATAACTTCATTTTCACAGGAGTGAAATAGTCTTAAAGGAGGGAGAAGTGTTGTGCAATCGAAAAATGATAAAATTCATTTACAAAAAAAAAAAAATAAAAAAATAAATGAATAAAATATGCATGATGATTTTCTTTTAAACACAAATATTTTTAGAGATATAATAATTTTTCTAAAAGGTCATATTTTCAAGACAAAATTTGTGAAATTTCAAATATGTTAAGTTACAAATATTATATGTTTCAATAACAGATGTCAAATTAAAAATTATGTAACTGGGAAGATTAAAATGCGGCATTTTTCCTCTTTGTCCAATCAAATGTGCTAAAAATTTTATAATATATTGGTGATAAGGTCAATTAAGCTGTCTGTACTTATCATGTTGTTAAACCTTATGACTGATAAAATATCCAGGTGATGATTGTGTTATAAATTCTATGTTGCTATGTTACATTATTTTGTATTGAAACCTGATTGGTCATTTTGTTATTTAAGACACACAAATGTTTAAATTCTATTGGTCAGCTAAAACGAAATCAATTTTTAGAATTATTGTAAAGATACATGTAGAAAATTCAGGGACAGTTAGATTTTGGATTTCCAAGTGATAACATTGTGGCTTTCCACTAGAAATATTTGTTACTGTTTTTCAATATCTATTTGTTAACATAAGGATAACCTGTGAATAAAAATTATGTTATATATTATTTGTGGTATTCCACTAAGAAAGATTAACATTAAAATATAAAACGGAACATTGTGTTGAGATTCAATCCACCTTCAGTAGAACCTATAAGTTAGCGCATAACACGTGGCGGAAATCAGTGTCTTTCCCAACCTCTCAATTTAGCAAGCGAGACTACGAATTCAAATTCCCCAAGAAGAACAACAATGAATTTCACAAATGGAATACCGTTCAGAAGTGAAAAATCATGTGGACAATGTGGACTTTATCATAATAACAGACTGGAGAAGTGTTGTGCAAAAATGGCAAGATGCAACAAATGTAATAGAATTGGACATTTTGCACGAGTTTGTCTACGTCCAGCAGTTAGGCAAAAGTCAAACGAATCAAAACTACGCGATCAGGAACGCATGACAACTTTCATCAGACGCAAGACAGCCGAAAATACATTACCATTTTACAATGAAGATGATGCCTACTTTAAGAAGAACCAAACAAACAATTCTGTAAGTAATGTTTCAACAGCAGAATTTCAGAAGTTAAAATCTTTGACCGATTCAATGACTAAAACTATTAACGGTTTAAAAGCAGAAAATATGGCCCTTGTTTTTAAAAATCAAAGACTTAAGGATTTTAATGAAAAACTACAGGATGAGGTTTCCCTAAAGAAATTAGAAATAAGTCAACTTAGAAAAACATTTTTACAAGAAAACAACTCGCTAAAGGAAACAATTCGGGCTGACTCTTCAAAACTAGAGATAATGGACAAACTTATATTAGAATTTAAGAAACTAAATGACGACTATGAACAACTGAGATTGAAGCACAACCAGAAAGCCTATGAAATTATGATGATGGAATCAAAAAAGAACGATCAAATAGATGACTTGAAAGATGAAAACCACACCTTGAAAAGATGAAATTGCCCAGTTGAAAGACAAAACAAAATATCTATGGTCGAAAAAGAGGGAAACAGAAATCAAGATTCTTTCAAATACATGCGAAACCGGGTTCCCACATGAATGGAGAGGTCAATATCATCATGGAAGACAAACAAGGACAGAGGGGCACTACAACAAGAAATAGACATCATTAAAACTGTGTTGTTTTACAATAAGACAGTGATTAGGAATATATATTATTAGTGAATGGTACTTACGCTTTTCAGCAAAATCGGTGCTTTATATTCAAGTATATATTTCTGTAACTGAATATCTTATGTAAACAGTATTCTAATTTAATGATATTTATTTTTGTTATATTGTAATTATACTTCATTTCACAGGAGTGAAATAGTCTTAAAGGAGGGAGAAGTGTTGTGCAATCGAAAAATGATAAAATTCATTTACAAAAAAAAAAAAATAAAAAATAAATGAATAAATATGCATGATGATTTTCTTTTAAACACAAATATTTATAGATATAATAATTTTTCT